CAAAAGTGACCTAATATACTACTAATATATATATATATATATATATATATATATATATATATATATATATATATATATATATATATATATATATATATATATATATATATATATATAAAGCTCAATTCTGTATGTAAAAATGCATATGTTTGTCGTTGACATACTTCCATGGATTAAAGTGCTAGACTATTATCGTGCGCATTTGTCTAAATTTATGAGTTAAAAAATTACTATTGAAAGTGTTGGGAAATAATTTTCATTTATCAAACTGAAAGTAATAATTTGCGGCATGTTCATTAAACACAAGTTTTAAAAAAATATCATTTTTTACAAAAATTCTAATTATGTCTTTATTTAGTCCTATAGCACTTACTTCCCTTTGATAAATTAGGAAAACACAATTACTTCCCTTTATAAAACCATTGCATTAGTGGAAAAGAATTTACTTTTTATTACTTTGTTTTGGTGTTGGGAAAAAAATAATTACATAAGTAGCGGGGATTGATCAAGTGCAAATGTTGTAGGTATTTTACGGATAAGCTTGGAGTATTAAAATTGTTCATTAAATTGAAACAGGCGCGTTCGTTTAAGTGAGTGCAAAAGACTATGAATAGGTTGGGGTACTATAGTCGTTCATTGAGCTAAAACAGGTGATTCCGCCCCGGGCGTTTATGTTCGCGTTAGTGTTTTCTTTGTGTTTAGGTGGGTTTGCGTTAGTGGTTGCGTTTTGATTTGGTTCGTTTTTGTTCTTTCTTTTTTCGTTTTTGTTTTTTTTTTTTTTTCTTTGGGTTTGTATTTGTGTTTTTGGTTGGTTTTGCGTTTGGATTTGGTTTGTTTTCGTTTGCTTTTTCTTTGTTTTTTTTGTGTTGGTATTGGTGTTTGTGGTTGGGTTTGTTGTTAGGTTTTTGTTTTCGTTTGCTTTTTTGTTTGTTTTTTCTTTGTGTTTGTATTGGTGTTTGTGGTTGTGGTTGGGTTTGTTGTTAGGTTTTTGTTTTCGTTTGTATTTGTAATTGTGTTAGCGTTATGTTTGCGTTTTGTTGTTATGGTTTCGGTTGGTTGTGGTTTGGGTGGGCAATGCCGGGTTTATGATGATTACTAAACACACAGGTAATGGTCTTTAACAGAAAGGTTTTTCACAGAAGCCAGAGCAGGGCCTGGCCGGGACGGCTAGTACTTTATAAATTTACATGCGTTTTTTGAGAAATCGGAAATATTGGAAACTACTCAATATATATATATATATATATATATATATATATATATATATATATATATATATATATATATATATATATATATATATATATATATAACTAGATCTATATAAAATTTAATTATTAATACTAATAGTTTCGCTGTCTCTCTATCTATCTATCTATCTATCTATCTGTCTGACAAGAACGCTCTAGAGAAAAGACAAGCAATTTAAAAACATGCATAGTAATTCGAAAAACGAAGTATGACGTCGACACATTTAGCGCACAGAGTAGAAAATAATCTCCAGCCGGATAGTGCACACATTTATATGACGTCATTGATTATCGTGTAAACATTCAATACAAAGGCAATTTGGTCTAATCTAAGTGGTTTGCGTGAAGAGTTTCTTTCATACAATTCTTCGGGTAGGGGCGAAGCCCCACCCCCGCGTAAGAACGTCTGAGCCCCCCCCCCCCCCTCCCCAACTCAAAAGAAATTTCTTCATCGATACTCTATAATAAAATTACCGCCTAATTAATGTGTCTAATCTAAAAAGTGGTTTTCTTGCAATGGGACGGTAAACATGTTTTTTTTGGGGGGGGGGGGGGGGGGGGGGTGGGGGTGGTGTGTGGGGGGGTGGGTTGGTTTCAGTGTTTCTTTTAGACTTTTTCCTCCCCGGAGAGGGGTGGGGGTACTTGAAATTTTCGGGGGCGGGGGTAGAATTTTCTGGGAGGGGGCGGACACTGGAAAAAGTATATAATTATATTTCGTTGAATGGGACGGTAGACATGTTTTTTTTGGGGGGTGGGGGGGGTGGTGTGTGTGTGGGGGTGGTGGGGGGTGGTGTGTGGGGGTGGGGGAGTGGGGTGTGGTTGGTGGGGGTTTGGGTTGGTTTCAGTGTTTCTTTCAGACTTTTTCCTCCACGGAGAGGGGTGGGGGGTACTTGAAATTTTCGGGGGCGGGGGTAGAATTTTCTGGGAGGGGGCGGACACTGGAAAAAGTATATAATTATATTTCGTTGAATGGGACGGTAGACATGTTTTTTTTTGGGGGGGGGGGGGGGTGGAGGGTGGGGGGGCGGTGTGTGGAGGGGGTGGTGTGTGTGGGGGGTGGGGGTGGGGGTGGGGGGTGGTGTGTGGGGGTGGGGGTGGGGGGTGGTGTGTGGTGTGGGGGGGGGGGGGTGTGGGGGGGTGGGGGTGGGGGTGGGGGGGGTTGGTTTTAGTTTAGAGAAAAGAGACAGCACTATCAGCCTAGCGCCCGTTGTACCCTTCCTCAACGGGCCATTTTTCTCGTTAATACTAATAGTTTCGCTGTCTGTCTATCTATCTGACAAGAACGCTCTGTCTGACAAGAACGCTTTGTCTGACAAGAACGCTCTAGAGAAAACACAAGCAAAATAAAAACATGCACAGTAATTCGAAAAACGAAATATGACGTCGACACATTTAGCGTAGAGTAGAACATAATCTCAAACCAGAGAGTGCACACAGTAAAATGACGTCATTGATTATCGCGTAAACATTGAAAAAAAGGAAATGTTGTCTAATCTAAATGGTTTGCGTGAAGAGTTTCTTGCATACAATTCTTCGGGTAGGGGCGAAGCCCCACCCCCCGCGTAAGAACGTCTGAGCCCCCCCCCCCCTCCACAACTCAAAAGAAATTTCCTCATCGATACTCTATAATAAAATTACCGCCTAATTAATGTGTCTAATCTAAAAAGTGGTTTTCTTGCAATGGGACGGTAGACATGTTTTTTTTTTTGGGGGGGGGGGGGGGGGGGGCGTAGGGGGGGGGGGGGGGTTGGGGTGGTGTGTGGGGGTGGGGGGGGTGGGGGTGGTGTGTGGGTTGGTTTCAGTGTTTCTTTCAGACTTTTTCCTCCCCGGAGAGGGGTGGGGGTACTTGAAATTTTCGGGGGCGGGGGTAGAATTTTCTGGGAGGGGGCGGACACTGGAAAAAGTATATAATTATATTTCGTTGAATGGGACGGTAGACATGTTTTTTTTGGGGGTGGGGGGTGGTGGAGGGGTGGGGGGGGTGGTGTGTGTGGGGGGTGGGGGTGGGGGGTGGTGTGTGTGGGGGGGGTGGTGTGTGTGTGGGGGGGTGGGGGGGTGGTGTGTGGGGGGGGGGGTGGGTTGGTTTCAGTGTTTCTTTCAGACTTTTTCCTCCCCGGAGAGGGGTGGGGGTACTTGAAATTTTCGGGGGCGGGGGTAGAATTTTCTGGGAGGGGGCGGACACTGGAAAAAGTATATAATTATATTTCGTTGAATGGGACGGTAGACATGTTTTTTTTTTGGGGGGGGGGGGTGGGGGGTGGGGGGGCGGTGTGTGGAGGGGGTGGTGTGTGGTGGGGGTGGGGTTGAGGGGTTGGGGGTGGTGTGTGGTGGGGGGTGGGGGTGGGGGTGGTGTGTGTGGGTGGGGGGGGTGGGGGTGGTGTGTGGGGGGGTGGGTTGGTTTTAGTTTAGAGAAAAGAGACAGCACTATCAGCCTAGCGCCCGTTGTACCCTTCCTCAACGGGCCATTTTTCTCGTAATACTAATAGTTTCGCTGTCTCTCTATGTATCTATCTATCTATCTGTCTGACAAGAACGCCCTAGAGAAAACACAAGGATATCTATACTAATAGTTTCACTGTCTGTCTGTGTATCTGACAAGAACGCTCTGTCTGACAAGAACGCTCTAGAGAAAACATAAGCAAAAATTCTATCTGACAAGAACGCTCTAGAGAAAACACAAGCAATTTAAAAACCTGCATAGTAATTCGAAAAACGTCGACACATTTAGCATAGAGTTGAAAATAATCTCAAGGCGGAAATTGCACACAGTAATATAATGACGTCATTGATTATCGCGTAAACATTGAATAAAAAGGAAATGTTGTCTAATCTAAATGGTTTGCGTGAAGAGTTTCTTGCATACAATTCTTCGGGTAGGGGCGAAGCCCCACCCCACGCGTAAGAACGTCTGAGGGGGGTGGGGGGGGTGGGAGTTGAGTGGGGGGAGGGGTGGGGGGGGTTTAATTTAGACTTTTTCCTCCCCGGAGAGGGGTGGGGGTACTTGAAATTTTCGGTGGCGGGGGTAGAATTTTCGGGGAGGGGGCGGACACTGGAAAAAGTATATAATTATATTTCGTTGAATGGGACGGTATACATTTTTTTGGGGTGTGGGGGGTGGGGGTGGTGTGCGTGTGGGTGGGGGGTGGTGTGTGTGGGGGGGGGTGGGGGGGTGTGGCGGGGGGGTGGTTTTAGTTTAGAGAAAAGAGACAGCACTATCAGCCTAGCGCCCGTTGTATCCTTCCTCAACGGGCCATTTTTCTCGTTAATACTAATAGTTTCGCTGTCTGTGTATCTATCTGACAAGAACGCTCTGTCTGTCTATCTGACAAGAACGCTCTAGAGAAAACACAAGCAAATTAAAAACCTGCATAGTAATTCGAAAAACGAAGTATGACGTCGACACATTTAGCATAGAGTTGAAAATAATCTCAAGCACACAGTGTGCACACAGTCATATGACGTCATTGATTATCGCGTAAACATTGAATAAAAAGGGGGTGGGGGGTGGTGGGTGGGGAAGGGGGTGGGGGGTGGTGGGTGGGGGTGGGGGGGGGGGGGTTGGGGGGTGGTGTGTGGGGGGGGGTGGGTTGGTTTTAGTTTAGAGAAAAGAGACAGCACTATCAACCTAGCGCCCGGTGTATCCTTCCTCAACGGGCCATTTTTCTCGTATAGAATAATTATACTACTTGAAAGTTTAGGGGAGCTCACTTCCGCTTTATTTTGAAAATTAAAATTTTCCACACAGCATAGGCCTACCTGGGTTTTCTCCCTTGGTGATTATAACCAAGGATAATCTTTTTTAAAATGGCGTCTTTATCAATTTGTACTTTACTGACATCGTTCTTCCTGTTTGTTAAAGGTATGTTGTAATCCCTGTTACTGTTATTAATCTAGATCTAAAATCTAAGGTAAAACTGCATTGTAGGCCTACTATTCCTAATTAATTACTTTAATTTTATTTTATTTTCCTAAATTTAACCAAATCAATATAAAACTCATAATAGGCCTAAACATAAAATTTATTAATTATTATTGGCCTAGGCCCTAGGGCCCTAGTATTTTGAAAATGAAACCACACCTTTGTAACAAATTTTAAACATTCTGTATTAAAAGTAAAAGATGATGCCAAATAATTTGAAATAAAGGGTAATCTATCGTTTTGGGTACGTAAAATCGCCCGCGATTTGTAATGTGAAAAACAGGTGACTCCTTAAATTTTAATAATTATTTCACATTTTGAGGAAGATTTATGTTTTAAAAAATTCAAAAATGTTTCCTTGATTCATTTATGTACCTGTTTTTAAACAATTGAATTAAAACTTTTCCGTAATAAATGAAGACTAGCGATGTTTCCAACAGATGCAACCATGCTCATTTACTATAGCAGCCATCTTGTCTAAGTTTTATTTTTATAAGCTTTTAGCGCCAGATTCAGGGGGAAGCCACTCTATTTTACAAATGGCTGCTGTTTATATAGCAAATCTTGCTCTCAGACACTGCTGTTTAAAGTTAATTTCTGGTCTGTATCGATATATTTAGCCATTGATTTAGGTTTATTATTCATTTATCTATAATATTTGACACACAAGTATGACAATATACTTCTATTAAAGCCTTGACAATGAGGTAACGTTTTCGTACATAAATAGCCGCGGGCGATTTTACGTACCCAAAACGATAGATTACCAAATAAAGTATGGTTTACAGTACTTCCGGTGGATTCCGGAACTGTGTGACAGACTTTGTCAATGTTTTCTTGTTTTTTACTGCTATACTCTGCTATAGTATAGCAGCTATACGATTCCGGAATAATAACCGACGCTAAACTAAGGTTTTACCCTAGACTCTAGTTGTAGATCAAGATTCTAGATCTAGTTAAATACTAAAATAGTAAAAAGTAAAAATAGGCCCAGGGCCTAATATTTAATATAAATTAAATTAAATAGTATGGGACGGAGTGGTCTTGAGCAGGGGTTCCCAACCTTTTTTTTACTCTAGAGCACATTCTAAAATATCGGTAGGGTGGCGGGCACCGCCTATTTTAAATCGACAAACTCCTTCCATAACTGGTCATTTTCCCAAATTTATTTTCTTATAGGCCTAGTCATAATGTATTAATAAATAATAAACAAAAATGTTTCAAAATTTTATTCAAATTGCATACACACAGAGAAATGTATTTACAAAACGTAAATAGTGCAGTCTGGCTCGCCGCTAGACACATTGGGACAAGTATCAAACATATTTAATATACCTTGGCAGTCAAAAAAAAATTAAAACTGTAACAAATGAATAAAAATAAATCATATTTTAAAATAATGTTTATGAAAATAATTCTGTCTCTGTCGAATAGTGAGAGGCAGGCACATACAAATCGTTCAGCGTGCGCCATGGCGCCCGCTGGCACAGGGTTGGGAACCCCTGGTCTAGAGTCTAGTGGTAGAGAGCAGGACTGCTAACCCGTAAGGCTCGAGTTCTAATCCGGGTTCAAGTCAGTTGAAGGGACGTTATATATCTGATATAATAAACTCACTCTAACTCTATAGATCTAAGTATAGGCCCATAGATTATTTTATAGATCTAGGCCTATAGAATATACTACTAACTACTAGATCTATATATATTTTAGTAGGCCTATATACTATATTATATAGGCCTCTATCTGGTAAAACTCCATTTTAGCATATTTTATTCGCTGCTTCACGTTCACCTCCGTTTGAGCGTATTTTATTATAAACACAACCCTAGCAATTAAGAAAAAGCACACATATTTAGAAGAATATATGAAATTCGGCTTTACTAAAACCACAATGGAAGTGGAGTAAAAAAAAATTACTGCGCAAAGTTGTTCTTAGTCATGAGTCTATGAAGATTTCAAAGCTGAAATGGCATTTTGAGACGAGTCATTCGGAACACACCAAAAAAGATATGGAGTTCTTTTGTCGTCAACAAGCTAGTTGCCAGCGCCAGATGCTTGATCGAGCAGGAAGTTTTCAATAAGAAAACACAGCATTAGTGCAAACATCATTTGAAGTCGCATTAGAAATTGCCAAGCAAAAAAACCTCTTACACAATAGGAGAAAATCTCATCAAACCATGTTTGTTGAAGATGGTGAAATTAATTCTTGGGTATTCCGGTGCAGTAGAGATGCAACAAATATCTCTGTCTAATGATGCTATTCAGCGGCATATAGCAGACATGTCCATAGATGTTAAAAAACTAATTTTAAATGAAATCAAACTTTCACCATTGTTTGATTTTCAAGTTGATGAATCAATAGATGTTAGTTCGTGTTAGCAGTTGCTTGTCCTTGTGAAATATATTCATTCAGATGATAGCAAAGAAGAGTTGCTATTTTGTGAAGATATCATGGAGAAAATAATTACGTTTTTTGAAACTGGATTATTAGAATGAGAAAACAGCTGTGGGGTTTGTACGTATGGTGCGTCATGTTTGGGTCAAAATCAGGCTTTCATAAAAAAGTAAAAGATTTAGCTCCCTAATCAAGGGGAAGCCACTGCATGATTCGCCAGCAAGACTCTTCCGACTCCATTGCTAATAAAATTAAAGTCGTAAATTATATTAAATCTGGAGCCCTAAACGCTTGTCTGTTTCAAGAGCTTTGCAAAGACATGAATAAAGATCACGAGGTTCTACACTATAGTACGCTGGGTGTCAAAAGGAAATGTGAATCGTGTTTTTGAATTGAAAGATATAATCAAGGTGTTCTTGGTAGTGCAAGGGAAACAAGACCTTTTGATATACTTTAACAATAAAGAGTGGTTGGAGAGAGTAGCATACAACTAACTAAACTGATGCATTATCTATATATATAATTCTCTTCATGGGGACCATGTAAGCGCACGCCGTTACTCCCCCGCTCTCTAGGCATATAGCTACCCCCCCCCCCCCCCCCCCCCACCATTCTTGTCAGCTAAGTTTCACCCCGAATGTTTACAATCATGAGCCAACTATTAGGGGTAGATAATTTAGCTTTTAAACTATTTGAAACTAAGCGGAGGTAATAACAAGTTCTGCTTGACTTTTCATTGTCGTCCGTAAGCTGTCGTCACGGATGGCTGCTTTCACTGTGGGGGGGGGGGGGGAATTGAAGGGAGGGTTGTGCATTCTTGTCAGCTAAGTTTCACCCCGAATGTTTACAATCATTGAGCCGACTATTGGTGGTTGGTTAATCCTCATCACTCCCTGTGGAGTATAGGGCAGCAACAAATCTCCGCCATTCCACCCTGTCCTGGGCGAGCCACTTTAGTTCATGCCAGGTTTTGCCAGTAGCCTGTACTTCTTCTTCCATCTCCCTCCTCCATGTTCCCAGTGGTCTTCCTCTATTTCTCTTTCCGGGTGGGTTCCACTTCAGCGGCATGTTGGGGAGTCTTTTTTTGCTCATGCATAGGACATGGCCCAGCCATCTCCATCTCCTCGTTCGAACTTCTGAGACAATGTCGTTTAATCCTGTCCTTCGCCATATTTCCTTGTTCGGGACTTTGTCGTCCCATTTTATCCTGAGGATGCGTTGGAGGGATCTTCTTTCAAAGCCTCTAAGTCGGCTCTCTCCTTTCTTGTTTAGGGGTAGATAATTTAGCTTTTAAACTATTTGAATCTAAGGGGAGGTAATAACAAGTTCTGCTTGACTTTTCATTGTCGTCCGTAAGCTGTCGTCACGGATGGCTGCTTTCACTGTGGGGGGGGGGGGGGGATTGAAGGGAGGGTAGTGTCGAATTCACTAACTATGAAGTACTGAAAAGTAGAAAATAAAACAACTAAATAGTGGCGTATTTATTTGAAAATGACTAAATCTATTAGTCAAGTATAGATTTAATTGTGCTCAATTGATCATCTACGACTTACATAGCAGATATGACTGATATGTGCTTAAAAGCTAAACTAAACCTAAACCATAATAATTTTTTTAATTAAAATGTAACACAATAAAAAATAGCACTGCTCTCTTAATCGGTACCCCAGTCACAATAAATGCTTTTATTATTGTAAGATATTATTCCTAGTCATATTTAGCATGAAATAACAGCCGACCGGGAGTAGCCGTTTGGCTATTCCCAACCGACTGGGAATAGCATTGGCCATTATAAATAATAGAGTACTGGTACTACTCTAGAGCTAAATCTAGATTCTAGATTTAACTTAATTTTCAGGCCTAACTCGGAGTACTGACACTAACTTTAAGTTTAGTTCTCAAAAAATCTGGATGATTTTAGATACTGATGTACGATAATATAATAGACTCTTCGACACAATAGGTGTGTTGGGTTGTTATAGTATTGTAATCTCAATCAGTTTTATGGTTTTGTCCAATTTTGCCTGCAGCCAGTTGTCTTGGACTTCTTTGTTGAATGCCATTTTTGCCAGAAGCTACTTAGTTTGAGCCTTATTGTCAGAAGTTATTTCATTTGGAGTCAATATAGTGTGGACTATTTGTTGTCGGCAGGCATTTGGTGGCAGGCCTATTTGAGGCTTGCAAATAGTTATGATCATTTGTTATAAGCAAAATACCAAAAATGCTGAAAACATTCATTTTCAGTAGAATTATGGCTAGGCAGGGCAAAAAGTTATTATGTGACGACAAAAATAAGATAGGACGGATATGATTGGGGGGGGGGGTGTTTAAGGTGAAGAGAGGTTAAAAACATGACCTCATTTACTATATATACCATATTTGCCTTTAGACATTTAATTGAAAATTCTATATATTTCCTAAAACCCAGTGCAGGTTACATCCTGCTAGTAAGTAAGTAATAAATAAATAAAAAATCAAAACTTGATAATCAATACTTATTTTTCCTTGAAATATACTGTGAAAAGTTTCCTGTACAGGTGGTTTTAACAACTTGGTAGACCTAATCTTAAGACACATCAATTGAAACAAACTTGAATAAAATTCATACAACAAATATAGTTTTAGAATTTTTAAAAAATCCTTAATAAATATTTGGAGACAAATAAAAACTTTTTCCAGAAGTTAAAAAAGGGCATTTTTTGTACCACATAACTGCAGTATATCCAGTGTGTATAATAGGAGCTCCTATGTGGCAAGTGCAAACACTGCATAATTTACTCTATTACTAGTAGTAAACTAGCTTAAATTATCTAGGCAGGAATAGTTTAAAATTTTATTAATAATAATGAACTGTAACTAAAGCTCACCTATTAATTTTTAATTTTATTTTAAGCTACTTGTAAAATATCTGTGAATGCTATAGACCGAAAAAGTAATTGATGGACATTTAATTATGTCAGATATGTATAGGACTTAATCTTAGAAAATATTTCAGGTGATTTTGTACTTCAAAGCGAACGCCAATGTGGAACTTATTTAAATCCTGTTGAAGAGCGAGTTCTTGATGTTGATGAATTAGATGTTTTTTCACATAGTGGCAATCAATATTATGCATCAAAAATGGATTGCATTCTCACAATTATTGGCAAAACATATTATCAATGGGAAGTCACTGTTACTCAGCTAAACATTGACAAATACAAGGATAGCTGTAGAGAACAACGTGCACCATGCTGCAATGATTACTTGAAAATTTTTAACAGTAAGTGTTATTGAATTTTATTATAAAAAGTAATGTACTAAATATCCCTCATTGTTCATCACAGTACCTCTTTATCACATTTCATCTTCACTTACTTATTGATATCAAATAAGAAATATGCAAATACCTATATAGAGGTAACTTTTCCACTTTTTTAATGCAAATCTACTTTTCTATTTGAGGAAAATAGTCTGCTGTCATTTTTACGCTCTCTGAAGTGTCCAGGCTTTCTCAATTCTACAAGCGATATTATTTAGATTAATAATTTTTAGTTATCTGTTGGTTAATTAAAATATGTACATCATCTTATATTTGACTTATTGGGAGGCATTTATACTGAAGGTGAAAGGGGATTATTAAGTGATTAATGTAGTGTGAAATTTTTTTTTATAGATCATTTTTTAAAAATGTCCTTGAAAATGTCTGAAAACCTGGGAATGTAGGGAACAAGTTGAGAACATTTACACCCCTTCCCCTTTCAAAAAATCAGCTTTTTCTTACTCAGGCAGTTTCATACCCGTATTTAGTTAATGCTTATCTTCCACAATAATATTAAGTAAGAATGAATGTATTGATTTTCAAGGTAAGCAAAAAGCTTCAGTATTCTGGTCAGAAATATTGTTTTAATTAGTTGACCAGAACTTAAGTTTAGAAAAGCTTCTTCTTAGAATAGTATATTGATTAAGATCGGATGACTGAAAACAGGTGATAAAGAGCAAATGTAGCCTACATGTATTACAATGCAATGTGTTTTAGATGTCCTTATTTTTCAGGTATGGTAGTGTAGATAGAAGAACACAATGAAACCACTTTTGATTGACATGATTTATTTCTGAAAATTATAGGTTATAGGGTGGATAATGCAAGATTGTTTCCTTCTGTTCCATGGAGAGGTTTGTGTGGTACTGACCTTCCAAAGCAGTCAACTTTTACATCAACACAGAATTACATTACAATTCAGTTTAATGCAAATCCTGTTGAAGATTTTATGACTGGCTTTGTTATACATTTAAGGCAGTATCCTAGAAGAAATTCAGGAAGTGAATTTTCACAGACAGGATATATTGGAGGTGAAATTTATCAGTTATTGAAATAAAAAAATTTAATTATCAAATTTTGATTTATTTTATTTCTGAAATCAATAACATCCTAATTTTGTTTAGGTTGGAATGATGGGAGTTTAACTGAACTACAGATAGATTGGTCTGATCAGGAACTAATACCTGGAGATTACCAGCCAGGACAGGACCCTACCTTTGAGTATGATCCTAATGGCATACCCTGTTATGAATGTATTGGATGCAAACGAGACTACTTCAGAACAACAGATATTGGTATTGCTGTTAGAGCTGGTTGCTATGTTTGTACCAAGGAGTGGCTCCAAGGTATAAAATTATGTATTTCAATATAATTCTTTAAAATGCATCCATTTTTTAATACAACTTTTGTTACTGTCTGTTTTTAATGAAAGCCTGTTTATAGTTATAAATTATTTTATTATCCATACAATCTATATATATAATTATCTTCTTGGAGACGTTAGAAAACACCAAGCTGTAAGCGCGCCTAGTAGTCCCCTCTCTTCCTCTCTAAGCATATCGCAACCACCCCCGCCTACACATGGTCTGGTGAGCTGTGGTTCACGCTAAATGTTTAAAAACCATAGAGCCGAGCTTAGTCACGCCTATTAGGGGCAGATAATTTAGTTTGAAACTATTTTAAACTTAGGGGAGGTAACTAAGAGGAGGCTGCTTTCACAGGGGGGGGAGGAAGGTTTTAGGGGTCATCCATAAATGATGTCATGCTTTTTTCGATGATTTTTACCTCCCCCCCCCCCCTCCCCTCCGTCACACATGGTCACAAAAAGCCAGACCCCCTTTCCCCCCTAAAATGACTTCACAACTCAGCCTACAACCCCCCTCAAAATTGCAGTTGAATTTTTCTTAAAACATCGATATTTTCCAAATCTTGTCTGAACTCAGTCAAAATAGAGTATTTTAATCAATCCCTATTGCAATTTATTAAAACAGTTTTCTAAAACGCAAAATAACGTCTAAAATTTGTTTTCTAACATTGCTTTTTTATAATGCAAAAGTGTGATGTCGCAACATCTGAACCCCCCCTCCCCCTCATCACACGCCATCACAAAATTATGGACCCCCTCCGAGTGTGACGTCATTTATGGACGACCCCTTAGTGTTTTAAAGCAAATATTTTCAGTGACATTATTGATACTGTCGAATACACAAATTATGAATGACTGGAAATTAGAAAATAAAACTAAATAGCGGTGTGTTATATGCCGGGGGTCGGCTCGTGTCTAAATAATAGAGGAAAATTATCAGTATTTTATATACATTATTTATGGAAGCTGTTTCCAGAAATAATAATTTTGTAAAAAGAACAAAAATTGCATTAATATAGTTTTTTTTCAGAATTCAAGTTTTTAATAGTAAATCTTGGTTATGATAACGCTGGCGAGGCCATTTTTTGTTGTATTTACTTTAGTATTTTTCTCGTTAGGTTGATTTTATATTTTTATAGAATTTTTTTTTTGTAAAACAACACGCAAAATGGCATTTTTAAAAATATTTACATGGCCGCATTATAAAATTAACCAAAATTAAAGTATGATAAGACAAATCCGATCCATGATTTTTTTTAGAAAAATGGATATACTTTTGTTTTCTATGATTAAGAACTTATGAAAAGTAATTGTTGTCATTAATTGTCCTGACAGAAGCATATTTTTGCCAGAAATAATCAGTAATTCATAATTTGTGAATTCGACAGTACCACTGCTGTCACTGAAAATATTTGCTTTAAAACACTATCAGTAAGTCCTTAAGGACGATTACCCCCCCCCCCCCTTTTCCCCTAACCCCCCCCCCCCCCCCCTTTCCCCTACCCCCCTCAGGCTCCTCTTAGCTACCTCCCCTAAGTTAAATATCATTTCAAACTAAATTATCTGCCCTTAATAGCCGTCACTAAACCCGGCTCTACGATTGTAAACATTTAGCGTGAACCACTGCTCACCAGACTTCCTAGAGAGGAAGAGAGGGGACTGCAAGGCACGCTTACAGTTTGGTGTTTTCTAACGTCTCCAAGAAGAGAATTATATATATAGATTATATCTTTCTTCAATAAATACATAATTTCTTAAAATTTATGAAGGACATTTAAAATTGATGTGTAGGACATTCAATCACGATTAATTTATATTGGTAATGTTTAGGCTTTAGATCAGCAGGTAAAAATATATGATTCGTTTAGCTGTAGAGGTTTTTAAAAAAAATTTCCAGTAAAACATGAAAATAATTACAGGCTTAAAAAGTTAACTTGTTATAAGTTCTAAGTGAATACCAGCAATTTTTCCCTTTTTTTAAAAGTATCATAGATCTTGATGAATGATGTTAAAGTGTTAAATTATTTCCAGGTCCTATAGTATTAATTTGAGTGAAATAGAAAGGAATTAATGTAATAACAGTTGCAGTTGTTTTCATAGTGTTCATTAGCTTCTCATGTTATGTTATTTTTAGGTAATGCTCAAGCAACAAGACAGTGTCTCTCTAAAGTGGGCTACCGGGAAAAACTACGTACACTGATAGGTATAATATGATTTATTGTTTTTAATTTTTTTTTTTTTGCTAAAGTAAAAGCAAATTTGTAAATATTCAGTATAGTTTAATTAAGGAAGTTTAACGGATTTATGTCGAATGTTGAGAAATTTAGAAAAAAATTTAAAACTGATATTGTGGACATTGTGGCAAGAAAATACAAAATCATCATAAAATAAAGTGCAGTAAAAATTCCAAAACCACTTCTATCAGTTAATATCTGACAGCTGCTTACTTGTACAGTTTTGTCCGTAAGTATTATCTCAAATTTGTAGTTTCCTACCAACTTTTGAGCGAATTCCAGTAACCAGAAGTAATATGATCTCTACTTCCGGTCTCTCAAAATTGCTAACACTAGTACCATTAAAGCTAGGTTGACAAAATTTCAAATATAGGTATTAGATTGTATGCTGAGGTTCCTTTCAACTTTTGTACTATTTCCAATATCTGGAAGTGGTACACTGCTCTATTTCCTTGGGAACACAATAACTTGAATACTGTTTCAGTTAGGTATACTAAATTTCAATTATTTAAGTATAAGATCTTATACCTGGATTACTCTCAAATTTTGAGCGACCCCCATATCCGGAAGTGGTACTTAACTTAATTTCCGGTTTCTAAAATACAGATTAGTTAGATTTTATAAATAGTTAAAAGATCTTATTCTCTTGATTTTATCAAATTTCAAGTGATTTCTGGTGAATAATTAGTATTTTATGGTATTTCTGATTTCTCAAAAAAATACCACTTCTACTGGACCAATTTGTTTTAATTTTTTACGTAGGTCAAAGCTCAATGACAATGCACTTTGACATAAAATGTGGCTTAATTAGATGTTTAATTATCTTTTAAAATATTAATTTGAGTTTCACTATAGAGTACAGTAGCACCTGGAGATTCGTATTTACTTCACTCCATAACATTGCCCATATGTTTAATTGTTCGTATCTCAAAGCTGTTTTTTCCATTTAAATTTTATAAAATGCTATTAATCCATTCCAGCCTGTCCCCAAATTCCTACACCACTTGTTTTTGTTACTCATTTTTAATAAGAAAAATGCAAATGGCAAAAATAGCAAATTTTTAATAAAAACATAACTAAGGAGAATGTAAAGAAATAAACTGGTTTTATAGAGTGTATAGTCTTTTGAAATGACCCAACATGAGCTTACTGAAGATGATGGAGGAAGTGTGGGGTGAAGGAGCTTTACTTTGTTCATTTACTCTTTACTGTGTTAATGCTAAACTTATTAGGTCTCTTTAACTTACTTGTTGCCCTTTGAACTTAATTGCTACTTGATAACTTATTGTTACTTTTGCTTAATTTTCGTGAATGCTTTCTATTCACTAGTCTTTCCCTTGTTTGCACGCTTTACTCATTTTCACCTGAAGCAGTCTAAGACAAAATCTGTTAAAGTGGTTTGATTCTTCCTCCCTTTCAGAATGTTGTGGAAATTAGTTTGACTGAGTTATTAATGCACAATCAGTTGCAACTTTTTCAGGTGGTATTTGCTATGAACTGTAAAACCTGCAGATTCAGTTACTCATATCCTAAATTTTGCTGTTAACTCAAAGCAAAAATAGCTCTCTTGACTGCTTATATCCCAAAAATCTCACATGTTGGGGCACTTGTATGTCGAGGTACCAATGTTCTAATTATTTTAATCCATTTTCTCTATTTGATTGAAAACTAAAAGCAGTATTGTGTTTAATGATTCATAAAAATCTATATTAAATTGTACCTTGTCCAGAATAGCACGATGTGTTTATTAACATATTTTGTTACATGTTACACAAAATCAATTTTGTTTTCCAATTGATCTTGCAGACACATCAGGAAGTGGCTCAGTTGCAGACTACAGGGGCTGCAAAACATTCCTTAGAGGAGTTCAGGGCACTACTTATATAAGTGTTTGTATATGTGATACAGGTCATTGTAACAAAGGAGTTGGACTACACAACAGCTGGATGTTTGTTGCATGTCACTCTTTGTTATTGCTGTTATGTTTTATCCTTTAAGTACCTAAGATTAAAAATAACATCCTTATTGTACAAACTGTTGGTTTACTATAATGTAAATATTTACACACACACACTACTTTATCAGACGTATATACCCATGTAGGCCTACCCATCTATATATTATATATTGATATCTCTTTATATGTATATAATATATAAGCTGCTAGGTAGTGTGTCATAGAAAACAAAAAAATGTCACGTTGTTGTACTTGTATGCAATTCATTGTTAATTCTATTTTGTGCTGACTTAATTTTTTTTTTGGTCGTCGGCAGTTTCAATCTTCTCAAAATATTCTATACATTAACACAGTTATCATTTTTTCAACTGCGTAATGTCTTATAATATTCTCTCTTAGACTGGTGGAGCAAAAGTGATAAATATTAATAATGGTAGAGTGAATAGTTAATAATTAATTTTTATGGTTCTTTGAGGTAATTTTAAAGGGAAATAACTAATAATAACTTTGCAATCAAAGTTTAAATTATTTCCATTTAGTGTCTTTTGGTTCTAAGAGCCATGGTTTTTTAAGATTAAAGATTTAATAAAATGATTATTATTTTCCAATAAGTCGTTTCAGAGATTTATGGTAACTAATTGTATTATCCTATAGATCAATACGTATTTGTTTTTACCAATTCTTGCCGATTTAGCTGGTGTGCATTAAGTTACAGGAAAAAAGTCACACGAATAAAAGTCACAAATTAGTATTTGCATGGAATTTGTTAATACTTTTATCTATTATAAAAAAAACTTACAATTAATTAAATGTAATGTAACCATTTTAAATATAAATGTGTGCGTTGTATACATATAGTAATATTTATAACACATAAAAAAATTTTTAGAGTAAATTTTTTTGGCTTTAATTGTAATCCTGTTTTACATATAATATTTAATAGAATTTAATATAATGCTCGAACCTTCTTGGTTTCAATCGTGTTTGTTAAATGCTAACTTTAAATTAGCGTGAAATGGCATAAAGAGATAGTTAATGTGACTTGCTGCCCCAACTCATCGCAACAATAGTTCAACCACCTTTATCACGCTCACAACAAATCATTGGATCAAACCAGAAAGCTGACACGGTACTAAGACTGTGATTGACGCAAAACGTAAACAACACAATATGGACGGACAAAGCCGACTTAGGAGAGGCCGACCAAGATAAGGCGTACAGAAAAAACATGCAAGCACAATGATGAGCCTAAATTTCTTTTTGGCGTATTTGAGGTTGCTACGTACATTATCTTAGAGTATTTTAACTTATTATTGTTTTAAACCATAATGTTTTTAAAGTTTACAAATATGCTACCAAAAAATTACCATGCATATTAATAAACACCCAAAATTTTACAAATATCAACAACTAGATCAAAATATTTCTTAGAATTATTTTGTGACCTTTTTCAGTGACTTTTTCTGATAAAACTTTTCGTTGTGACTTTTTTTTCTCTGACTTTTTTCCTAGCAAAAACTGACTTTTTTCTGTTTTTTTTTCCTGTGCCTTTTTTTCTGTTCACCATATAAATGATATGACTCTGATGCTCATTATATTTGTGTAACGAAACTTGTTTTTGAGAAATGGCAGGTGAAGTGTAAGAAATTTTAGAATGATTTAAAAGTGCACTGAACTGGTTGCTGTTTTGAGCATAGCTTTATGCAATGCTCTTTAATTTTTCTCTAAACAATCAACTAACACATCCGCGTTAACATTTAAATTTAAACATTGCTAGAGCAAAGCCTATTCCATAATGACCAGTATATATATATACACACACACACACACATACTTGCATATACATGTACACACCCTCATATATAAATATGCCTATATATATGTACCAGTCGTAAATGTTAACTATACATTTAAATATTTTCATTAATATTAACTTTCTCATATATATAGAGTAAAGAGGACTAATCTCGTTTTACACATCCCTGAGTTAAAAAATTTAAGTTTTGCAATTTTTTCTGTCTGATAACTTGAGTACCTGTTCAGTTATGTTGATGAAATTTCATATCTGAATATTATATACAATTTGTAGTTCTGTATCAACTTTAAATGAATTTTCAGTAACCGGAAAGCCAATAACTTCAGCACTGTATAAGTTAGGTGGATGAAACTTTAAATATAAGCTTTATGTGCAATAGTTTTTTCAGGCTTAAATCAAGTTTTGAATGATTTTTGATAACGTATATGATATTTCACTGCATTTTCTTGGGAACACTGAAACTAAAGTACTGGTTCAGTTAGAAAGGCAAAATTTCATTTAAAAGTATAAAAATCTTATACTTGTATATATATTTAAGTATTATATCAAATTTTTAGTTCTGTATCAACTTTTATCACCAGAAAGCCAATAACTATAGCACTGTTTAAGTAGATGAAATTTAACGTAAGTATTACATTGAATGCGCAGGTTACTGTTGACTTTTGAACAATTTCCGTTATCAGGAAATGGTACTTTATTTCCACGTGAACATGATATCTTGAGTACTATTTCAGTGTTTTAGATGAAATTTCATAACTAAGTATAACATCTTATACTTGGATTCGTTGCAATTTGAATGCCCTATGATAACCGGAAGTGATGCTTTACTCAATTTCTTGTTTCTAAAATAGCAATAATTTGAGCACTGATTCAGTTAGGTAGACCAAATTTAATACATGGGTACAAGACCTTATTCTTTTGATACTTTCAAATTTTAAGTGATTTCTGGTGACTGAAAGTACAAAAAGTCATTTCCGATTTCTCAAAAAGGTAACCAATTTTTCCTTTGTATAGTATTAATGCTCCACTCTATTGGCTTTCATTCACTTTGTGTACAATTCTTTTTTCTACACAATTTTATTCTCTTTAAAATAAAGCGGGAGTAATCTCCCAAATATTCATATATAACACTAAGGGGGATGGCAGCTCCAGTACATTTGGGCTATAGATATGGTTTAATCAATGGTTTTTGGAGAAATCAAAAATAGTTTAGAGTACTACTTCCGGTCACTAGAAATCACTCAAACTTTGACAGAACTCAGAGAATAAGATCTTTTACTCATATATGAAATTTTTTCTACCTAACTTACACAGTAATCTAGTTCTAGGCTTTTAAGAAACTGAAAAAAGGATATAAGTATAAGTGCCACTTCCGGTTATCCAAAAAACTATTTTAAAAAAAAAAACATTCATATTTTACTGGAAATGCTGTTCCCCTTACTGTAATATAAGAATATACGGGAAAGTTTAAGTATATAAGTGTATTTAAGTGTATAAGCACACACACATACATACACAGATACACACACATGTGTATAAATATGTATATATATATATATATATATATTTCTTTCTTCTTATTAAACACTGGGTTCTACATCTTAAATATGTTCCTAAATAGCCATCCATAAACAGAAACGCAGATATATCTTCTCCAATATGGTGATTCAATTTTGGACACATATTAAAAATTGTTTTGATAGCGTGAAGTTGTATAGAATTTAGTAAATGTATCTCAGTTTGTTACAATATGTTACCAAAACTTAATAATGCTTATTCCTAATAAATGTATTTCATTCTATAATTTTCAAAGCAGCAATAGTAGTTATTATTGTTAATTTACTTAAGTATAAACAATGTAGATAAGTAATAATATAGAGCTTATTTTTATGTGGATTAGTAAGCCTGTATAAAAAAAATGTATTTATAGATTTATATTGTTTACTTGAGCTGAGCTTTAGGAAATTATCAATTAAAAAAAAAACAGTTGAATAATATTTTTCATATTAGAATTGGTAAATGTAATTGTCATTGGATCCCTAAACTTTAATCAGATAGCATAGAGAAAAAAAATTCAGATTTTATTTTTGCCAATAATCAATAAATCAAATTGTTTACCATGTTTTAGATTCATAGCTCCAAAAAAAAAAGTTTATAAAAACTGTTTGATTTGTATACTTGCATATTATTTCATTTGAAGTTACATTACTAAACCATAGGCACGTAAGTTAAAAAAGTTTTTTTAGATGTTAAAAATATCAGGTTTTATTTGATTGCGTTCCAAGACAAAAAATAAAAACAATTTTACTAGTTAGGCTAATTGTGCTACTATAGTTCATTATCATTTTGTTCAATCTTAGCTGCTAGAATTATTTGTTTCAAATTTTTTTTGCATCAATAGCTTGTTCTTTATTTTTGGACTTTGATGGCTGTGATCAGTCTATTTTACTTTAGTAGATTCAGAAAGCATTCTTTAGGCATTGATTTGATACTTAAGTTAAAAGCCCTTTGGTTAACATTATGTACAAATTTTCATAAAGTAATTTGACTGATTTGAATATTAAGGGCTGTAACTGCGTTTTCATACCTGGCAATATTGACATTAAATTTGTATTTCCCTTAATTGTATTTTTTAAATATATTTGAATAGATTCAGTGTGTGCTGAACATTATATAATATTGTGTCCACCGACAGATCTTTTTGTTCAATGTAAAATGTGAAAGTTTGTATGAAAAGTGGTCATTGTTATAAAGATTAGACTTATTTGTAGTCTACTCCAAATATTTGTGAACTGATTTGTTGAAACTCTAACAGAGGTTTGCATTCTGTTTTAAAATTTCATAGTACATATTTGAACATTCCAGCTTTGAAAGATTATTTTTGTATATTTTAATATTCAGGTACTTTTTATAAAATAAAGTTTTTTTTACAATTCTGGATTTGTTTGACACCAATTCTATAGCTGTTCAGAGAACAACTACTACTAGACACCGTTATTTTTAATTTCAATTTAGTTTACAGACCTTTATTACATGGATTTTCTTAGCTTGTATTTTAAGTACCCTATATTTTAACAAGCGTTTGTGAATCATTTATTTTTAGAAGTGTGACTGTTTTTAAATGGAATTATTTATAAGTAAACAATACTGACGCTATATTTGTTGGATCATAGTTGTTAGGGCGCTGGTTTGTCCCCACTACCGCCCAGACGCCCCTGGATGCGCTGTATGAAAGCCTTGAAAGTAAATCAACCTCTGTAATAGTTAGGTAAACACATCGGATACCGCCCTAACTGGAGTCAACAGACTACTGCACTGGTTGAAAGGGTGCATCCCCTGATTCGGTTTAGTCATCAAATGAAGTGGCTCATTGTGTGCCTAATGATATATATTAAGGTGATCTTTGAAACGGATTTAGGCGCCATATTGCTCCAGGTCATCGCTGGAGGACTCTGGTGTACGCACCTTATCCGTATCACATAGTGTAGGGGACTCTTAAACAAATGTAGGCATCATATTGCTCACGGGGAATATAACTATATATATATATATATATATATATATATATATATATATATATATATATATATATATATATTAGCTTGTAAAAATATAAGCTTGTAAACTATGTACTTATTTAGGTCAACAGTAGTGTAGGTATAAGGCGTTAGCTAGAACACTCCTAATGGACCTCCAACATGAAAATGATTCGTTTTATTACAGTCAGATCTAGACTAGTTCTAATTGTCGAAGATTTCACCCATTTCTTTTTATGACATACAAAAACCCCACCTCTATAACGTCTACCTCCCCCGATAGAAAATATATACTTTTACCAGTGTGTGTGTTCCGTCCCCGTGTCCCCCCCCCCCCCCCCCCGAGAGTATGAAAAAACCCCACTGAAAATTAAGCCTAGAAACTTAATCTCACGAAAACCACTTCTTAAAAATTATCAATACTTCGGTTTAAATTAAAATGTATTAAAAGCATGTTATTTGCTTGTATGCAGACTGACCATTTGCTCATGTAGTATTTCTGTATTTCCAATAGACTTACGGAAAAAGCAACTGAACTATTTTTGTATAAATAATCAGACTGGGTGATACAATTAAAATAATTGAATTCGTGAAGGTTACAGTTAAAATTAAAGGAAAGTCTTTACTGAAAATGGTCAGATGCATCGGCCCTGGTGAATTTTGGAATCATGTTTCGGTTATCCTTTATTGATTTAGAAGAGACGTGTTCCAATTATCTTTTATGCTATTCGAGATATATGTTCTAAATTTATGTATCTTTTATCGATAATCTAGATATATACATTCCAGTAATCTTTTAAGAAGCAGCTCCCACATGAAAAGAAAAACGACCAGTGGGCGAGATTACCCAATTTACACAAATTAAAATGTATGTTTATCGTAAAGATTATATCAGAGTTGGCTGCGATATACAACTCTATAAGATTTTTAAAAGACACAGTTTTAAAAAACTGGAAAAAATTAGGAAAGGAAGCCAAATAGGTCGTAACGCACCCAGGGAGGAGTAATACTCCACTCGATACCTGCCTAGTTCAATGCAAACACGCCTTGTGTCAGAATCAGCTATTGGGTGCACATTTAGCCGCCCGTGTGTATGTCGGTTGTGTGTTTAGAGGATGGCAACTGCGTATAGGTGATGACGCATCAATAAGAAATGTAAGTTTTAAACTTTGTATTTAACGTAATGTAGAATTTAATTCCTTTGTCGAAAGTGTCGTGCAACTTTGTTGTAGGGTCGTGTACATCTTTGTTGTAGTGTAGTGTCGTGTAAAACTCTGTTGTAGTGTCGTGCAACTCTGTTGTAGTGTCGTGTATAACTCTGTTGTAGTGTCGTGTAAAACTCTGTTGTAGTGTCGTGCAACTCTGTTGTAGTGTCGTGTATAACTCTGTTGTAGTGTCGTGTAAAACTCTGTTGTAGTGTCGTGTAAAACTCTGTTGTAGTGTCGTGCAACTCTGTTGTAGTGTCGTGTATAACTCTGTTGTAGTGTCGTGTAAAACTCTGTTGTAGTGTCGTGTAACTCTGTTGTAGTGTCGTGCAACTCTGTTGTAGTGTCGTGTACATCTTTGTTGTAGTGTAGTGTCGTGTATAACTCTGTTGTAGTGTCGTGCAACTTTGTTGTAGTGTCGTGCAACTTTGTTGTAGTGTCGTGTACATCTTTGTTGAAGTGTTGTGTACATCTTTGTTGTAGTGTCGTGCAACTCTGTTGTAGTGTCGTGCAACTCTGTTGTAGTGTCGTGCAACTTTGTTGTAGTGTCGTGTACATCTTTGTTGAAGTGTTGTGTACATCTTTGTTGTCGTGTCGTGTAAAACTGTTGTAGTGTCGTGTACATCTTAGTTGTAATGTCGTGCAACTTTGTTGTAGTGTCGTGTACATCTTTGTTGTAGTGTAATGCAACTTTGTTGTAGTGTCGTGTGAAACTTAGTTGTAGAAACATTCATAATGCCATGTACAACGATGTTGCAGCAACACTCGTATTGTTATTTGTATCCGTGTTTGCCGGCCTTAATTATATATATATATATATATATATATATATATATATATATATATATATATATATATAGAGAGAGAGAGAGAGAGAGAGAGAGAGAGAGAGAGAGAGAGATAGATATAGATATAGATATCGGCCTATACTGATACGGCCAAATTTCATGAATGACGATCTGACGTAGAATAGTGTTCACAATTAAACAACTTATATGGATTTAAAACACGACATTGACTGGTTCACATATCTTATTATAATGTACTTTTTTATGATTATAGATAGTCTATTCTTCCAAGTCCGCTACATCCTTTGCTCTTTTCTTTTAATCTACGCCTTGTTTCTCCCTTCCCCTCTCCATGTTTTGCTGAGTGAGTCATTGTGGTGCATTTTTAAATCTATGTTCTTATAAAGGCTTTTAAGCTAGCTAAACCGGACTCGTCCAGCTGGTAGACCATTAGTTGCTGTTGTTAGCGCTGGCATTTGTCATCGCAGTACGCGACGGTTGAAGTCACTCTGTGTGATTACGTTCTCTTTTCGTTTCCATTACATGAATTACAAACTTTTTGCCATCTCTCTATTGAACCAAAAAAAAAAAAAAAAAAAAATAAGCGGATATTATTTCTATGCCTTGTAAGTTAAAAAGTATTACAGTTATAATAAGAATAGAGAATATTTTAGATTAGTATATAGTATATATTATTATAATTATATCCATTAAGCAAGGTACTCTATATACTATAAATAAATATATAGACTATATATATATATATATATATATATATATATATATATATATATATATATATATATATATATGTGTGTGTGTGTGTGTGTGTGTGCCTACATGTAATAGTCAGTATTTGTAGCACGAAGCACACAGCGGCATTAAACTGTTTAGCAATCGAAGTTGACTCCACTGTTTTATATAGCATTATCTTTACATAGTAATATTATCAAAATGGAAACACAATTCACAGTTTAAATGTAGAGCTATATAGCTTTCGAAGCAAGTCCTCATTACATGTAATCACAAATTAATTATTCAAGATTTTAGACAACATAAATTACACTTAGACAATTTTTAAATAAACCCTTTTTAGCGAATTAAAGTACGTGTAAAAAATAATAGGCCTACTACATTTCTATTTTAAATCTACATAAGTCTTAACACGCCGATCTTGAAGACTTTAAAACTAAAGCGAACAAACAGGCAATGCAATACGAATTAAGATGTAAATTTCGTGTCTGATGCATTTTAGAAAAAAAATATATTAATAACTAATATAACAATGCTTAATGATTTAATCGTGCGTGCAAAAAAATGGAGTAGACAACATAAACATTGCATTCAAGATTCTTTCATAAGTAGGGGCGAGTGGTGAGAGGCGGGGCACCGATTTTTTTTACCCAAAATACGAAATTAATGTTTTCTCTCTTATATGCAACTCTCCAAATTTGGACACAGTCGTTAAAACACTGTATGGAAAATGTAGACTTATGAGACACATAATTTAATCGTCCTCATGTTGGTGAGATGTGGGACAGGGGTTATGTAACTTAGTGAAACCAAACAATAAATCAATACATGTTTACGTTAATAAAATACAGACTAAGAAGCTGATAGTACAGATTAAACTATGCCATCAAAATGACCACTTAAATTGAGATACTGAACGGCTATGCCGAGAAGTGTGACATATTGTCCCACTTCTCACCAAAGTTACTGGAATATTTTTTTTTAAAATCTTCGCTGTAATTAGCTCAAAACCTATACAAAGGATTCAACCAAATCATACAACGAATACAAAACTTACCCTAATAATAGATATGCAGGGTGAAAGAAATATTGACGCTGTCCAAAAGATGGTGAAGATACAAAAAATACTATTTTAGGCACTTCTCTGTACAGCTCAAACTAACAAATTGCTGTCGCAGGAAGGGTGTTACAATAAAGTTGTAGTTGTAGTTTTATGTTTTAAGCGATTATATTGAAATTTTTGGTTTAAAAAATACAATAATATGTGCTCTTTTGACACACTTCCACCACTCTACCCTGTGCCAATAATGTTATTTACTTAATGGGTTTAAATCTGTTTGTTAAATGATATAAAGGTCTATAATCATATATATATATATATATATATATATATATATATATATATATATATATATATATATATATATATATATATATATTTATATATAATGCATACCCGTGCTCCACCACAGTAAATATTTTTAAAATGTACCAACTTGGGAACAGAATAAAACTAAACACAACACAAACACTACATAAACACAAAAGAAAACACAAACACAACCCAACCACAAAAGAAAACACAAACGCAATGCAAATACAAACGAAAACAAATGCAACACAAACACAATGCAAACACAAACGAAAACACAAACGCAACACAAACACAAAAGAAAAAAAAACAAACGCAAATAAAAACACAAATGAAAACACCAACACAATGCAAACACAAACGCAAAAAAACACAAACGAAAAAAATAAACACAACACTCATAACATAAACACAACTTAAATTCAAACATAAACGCATAATGCTCACAGTTTAGCCTGTGGCGCCAAACCGCATCCTGTCCAAGCGCCGCGGACGCGCCTGATTCAGTGAATGACTTTAAAAACCCCAGCTTGTCCGCAAACGGAAAGCTAGATTAATAATTAGTAAACAGTACGCTCAGTGTATAAAATAAATAAAAGGCAGTATTTAAAATATCCGTGTTTTAGCTATCATATTGCACTTATATCAATTCATGCATTTTTTTTTCAGTACTTTAAATTTTAAAAAATCACAATAGAGTTTCATGACTAAAACCATTGCGCATAAAACGTGATGACGCGTCTTTAACAGTGCGGAATATTTGATTAAAAATTATAATTAGTAAAAAATCTATCGCGATGACTGACTGACACACTAACAGCCCGCTTATATATATATATATATATATATATATATATATATATATATATATATATATATATATATATATATATATATATATATATATATATATATATATATATATATATATACTAGCGTGCCCGTCCCCGCGCGTGGCCGCGGGGTTAGAAGAAAGTCTGAAGAAGTATATTATAAGGGTTTCATCAATGCGTTACCAATCCTTTATTCTTAGATGTGTGACATTGGTTTCTAAATGTTTTAAATATAAATAATGCCTTCGCTTAGATCATATTTAACGGAGCACTGGTTTACCCACACTACCGCCCAGCACACCCCATGGCGTGTATGAAAGCCTTGTGTGTACGTTAATCACTCACCGTAACATCACAGTTAATCACCCGTGAGCCCCCGGTTACACTAACACACGGTTTAATCATCTAATGTCGTATGCCACCTTCTCAATATTGCAGGGTGCTCCTTAAAACTTACGTAGGCGCCATAGTGCTCACAGGATAGCGCAGGGCGACAAATCACATCCTGTCGGAATTCCGGCGGACGCGCCTGATTCAATTTAGTGAGCGACTATAATGCCCCATCTTATCCATTGTCTATCGCACTATTTAGAACGAACGTAGGCGCCATTACGCTCACTGGAAAGCCAAGGGCGCAAAATCCCATCCTGTAGGGCACTGGAGGATGCGCCTGATTTGATATAGTCGTCATCTATTAATGTTGTTCATCGTGTCTTTTTTTAAAACGATTGTAGGGCTATAGTACCTACAGGGGAGCCCGGGGCGCTTCTGGTCACACAATCATTGGGGCGCCAGCGGCTGCGCCTGTTGCAGTTTTACCGCTGAATTTATTATTTTCCATAGCCGCTATGCAGGACGCTCGATTAACGGATGCCAAACGCTAACTGTAACATAGCCGCTCTGGAACTTTGGGCGTCAAACCGTGTGTTGTCGAAAATCACACACTTCCTGTTGCGTCGATAAGAATTTTTTTTTCCACAGAAATATTATCGGGAATATTCTCATCTACGCCCCAAAGTTTCATGGCACTCGGATGAACGGCGTAGACCGTATCCAACTTTTATTTTCTATATACCGTAAATACAGAAAAATCGCATCCTCCGAGGGCGCCGCCCTTGCGAAATTTTTTTAAAAGATTTTTTTTTTTGCAGAAACCTCCCCTAGAGCGTTCTAATTAACTCCCCAACGTTTCATGGCGATCAGATGAATGGTATCAAACCGCAATCAACTTTTATTTTTTTATATACCGTATATAGAGAAGAATTTGTATTTATCTTTTCGCAGGTACTTTCCCAGGAATAATCTCAACAACTTCCCAAAGTTTCATGGTGATCGGATTAAAGGTGTAGTAATGCATAAAAGACAGACATACAATATATATATATATATATATATATATATATATATATATATATATATATATATATATATATATATTAATATATACATATATATATATATATATATATATATATATATATATACATACATATATATATATATATACATATATATATATATATATATATATATATATATATATATATATATATATATATATATATATATATATATATACATATATATATATATATATATATATATATATATATATATATATATATATATATGTATATATATATATATATATATACATATATATATATATGACTAGTTGTTATCGGCTGGGCTTTGCTACGCCCAAAACAGCGACAGCACTTGTTAATATAAACACGTCACAAGCATTCCTCAATATCACGGTTCGTTACACAAATATAATAAGCATCAGAGTCAGACCATTAAATGGAAAGTCTCTTGTTTCTTCTTTCCTGGTGAGCAACAGAGTTTTTTCTAGGCATCTCTTCGGTGTGTGTGTGGGGGGGGGGGTCTGCCCTCCCGAAGAAAGTTTACCTTCCCCCACTTCCCCTGAACGAAATGGAATGTATATAGAAAATATGTACTTTTAACAGTAATCGCCCCCCCCCCCCCCTCCGAAAATTTTGTCCGCCCCCTCCCCCCCCCCCCCCCCTACCCTACGGAGAAAAAAGTCTGGAAGAAACACTGGTGAGCAACAAGCCCAGATGATAGAGTTAAAATATACAACAATAAAATATCGGAACAGTATCTAATTGCTTTTATAGATATATACCCAATTAATTTGAAATATTAACCATATAATAATATGCAGTTTTCAGTTTGTTAACTGTCAGTTCCTTGACAATATCTTCCGATCGAATCAGTCTGTACATTTTTAAAGATCAAATTAATTTTTATATACATTAATTTTCTCGGGCTTTCTCCCAAATTCCAAATTAATTTAGTTTTTTTTTTATCGGGGATGGGGGGTTGGGGGGGGGGGGGGGGGGGGTGGGGGGGGGGTGGGGTAAGGAAAGATGCTCCCTTAGCTTTCCCTTACATTAGCCTATGCTGCGCTACAGATTAGTTCGTAGAAATATCTTCGATGATTGTCAATCAATCTTTTTAAGAAAACAATGACAATTATTTCTTTCAAAACTGCCTTAGGCTATGTCGTTAGTTAACCACGCAGTTTCTGTCATTCTATTGACTACTGTGTCTTGACAGGTTTAGCCAACCTAAGTTTCTATGACGCAGCTTAATGTGGGCGGAAATAGCCAATTAGTGGGACCAGAACGGACGTGAGTTACACAGCCACTCCCGTTTTAGAAAGACTTCATATTTGCAGACAGTAGGAGTCGCCCCAACCCACCCCCCCCCCCCCACACACACTTTTTTTTCTTCTTTCCAATACTCGCTGTAAGCACGGACTAATGTGTTTAAAAAATTTCAATTTACAATAAAAATTAAAGCATTTAAAGGTAATTTTAATTGTAATCGGAGGTTACAAATTTATTTAGACTACTGATATTCACAAAATAAATAAATAAATAAATAAATAAAAGATACAAAAACAATATGAAACATGAATACATTTAAAGAAAATAATATGTCACATATCTCTAATCTTTCAATGTCAGATATCTATAATCTGTTCAATCTCAGATGTCTCTAATCTGTTCAATGTCAGATGTCTCTAATCTGTTCAATGTCAGATATCTCTAATCTGTTCAATGTCAGATGTCTCTAATCTGTTCAATGTCAGATATCTCTAATCTGTTCAATGTCAGATATCTCTAATCTGTTCAATGTCAGATGTCTCTAATCTGTTCAATGTCAGATATCTCTAATCTGTTCAATGTCAGATATCTCTAATCTGTTCAATGTCAGATGTCTCTAATCTGTTCTAATCTGTTCAATGTCAGATGTCTCTAATCTGTTCAATCTCAGATATCTCTAATCTGTTCAATGTCAGATATCTCTAATCTGTTCAATGTCAGATATCTCTAATCTGTTCAATGTCAGATGTCTCTAATCTGTTCAATGTCAGATATCTCTAATCTGTTCAATGTCAGATGTCTCTAATCTGTTCAATGTCAGATATCTCTAATCTGTTCAATGTCAGATGTCTCTAATCTGTTCAATGTCAGATGTCTCTAATCTGTTCAATGTCAGATATCTCTAATCTGTTCAATGTCAGATGTCTCTAATCTGTTCAATGTCAGATGTCTCTAATCTGTTCAATGTCAGATATCTCTAATCTGTTCAATGTCAGATGTCTCTAATCTGTTCAATCTCAGATATCTCTAATCTGTTCAATGTCAGATGTCTCTAATCTGTTCAATGTCAGATGTCTCTAATCTGTTCAATGTCAGATGTCTCTAATCTGTTCAATGTCAGATGTCTCTAATCTGTTCAATGTCAGATATCTCTAATCTGTTCAATGTCAGATGTCTCTAATCTGTTCAATCTCAGATATCTCTAATCTGTTCTAATCTGTTCATTCACATTGGTCTCTAATATGAAATGATATATGGATAACGTAAAGGCTTAATTAAAATGAAGTGGCCCGTCTTTGTCTTGATAACATTAGTCAAACACCCATTTATCATACACCCATTAGTCAAACACCCATTTAGTAACCTAGAATGATTTCAACGTGTTTCATTACTTTCCATCAGCAGAGTTTCTTCCAGCTCCCCCCCCCCCCCGAACGAGATGGATTTTATATACTAAACATACACTTTTACTAGTGTCCGCCCCCCCCCCCCCCGGGAAATGTTGACCGCCCCCGTTCAAAGCCCCCCCCCCCCCCCACACCGGAGAAAAAAGTCTGAAAGAAACACTGTCCATCAGTCAAAAAGTTAAGCGAACTGAGGGTGGTATGAATTGCACAGTGGTACTGGGGATGACATCAATTCACTATTGCCGATTGTCTTGAACGCTAATAATAAAAATTTCATATAATAAAGTGACTTACTTGCACTTTCTAAGAAAGAAATTAATGCTATTTTAATATTACACATCATAAACACTTTTTTTTCAGTATGGAATGTATCAACAATCTACATGATATGGTATTGTCAAAGAAAAACATGTGATCACAGCTACAAGAAATACATGTGATCACAGCTGCAAGAAATACATGTGATCACAGCTACAAGAAATACGTGTGATCACAGCTACAAGAAATACATGTGATCACAGCTACAAAAAATACATGTGATCACAGCTACAAGAAATACATGTGATCACAGCTACAAGAAAGTCATGTGATCACAGCTACAAGAAATACATGTGATCACAACTACAAGAAATACATGTGATCACAGCTACAAGAAATACATGTAATCACAGCTGCAAGAAATACATGTGATCACAGCTACAAGAAATTAATGTGATCACAGCTACAAGAAATACATGTGATCACAGCTACAAGAAATACTTGTGATCACTGCTATGAGAAGCGAATAAATGCTTTATGCATGTGTTTTCAGTCATGTTTTCCATCACTCTAATTAAAAACGACACATATTTCCACGTGGAGCCGCGGTATGTTTTAACAAAACTACAGCAAACAATGGACAAAATTACTTACAAACCCTCTGGGGGTTTTTAACATCTATGCAAATATTTCTTGTCGTAATTTTGATAGTACATCAATGATAAGAGCTCCACTAGCAGTATGTCCACTGACGGGTTGGGTAGAGTTGAAATTTCCCACCCGATTTTACAAAGTGCAACTAACAATCAAGTAAATCCTTTTTTTAAAGAAGGAACAGTTTACCACCCATCAAAGGAAATTCTTGTAAGGCAACGCCAAGAGTATGCAACCAAGAAAACGCCTTCAACACAAGATGAAGCTCTGAAGCAACTGGATAATAAATACGCTTCTCCCGCCAACATTCTCACAGGCATGAACTCTCAGTTAAATTTAGCACAAATTGAAGCAGACGCACTCAGATCCAGTGCTGGTGGTTCTGTATTGTCAGACACATCTTCAGATATTTCAGATGTTATTCCTAAAACGAACACTGGCAATTCTACCTTCGTTCTTCCATTAGTAGAAGGCTTAAACGATGAAGATATTATTCAAGTGGAAATGTTTTATCGAAGTCATAAAAGTGAAATTCGAGTGTGTAGATCTCTAGCCAATTTGTATGTTTCTGTTCCTAAACTCCACGAGCGACCCAAAGTGATTCAACTGATGGAGAAAACGTGCAGAGCGCCGCCTCCTGCTGAAAAGGCCTTAGATCCCTTAGACTTCAGCAAGGATGACTGGGAATTCTCTAAAACTGGAGTGCCAGTACTGGTTCTAGATACTGGTCAACATGTTCGAGAGCGACGCTTGACCATTCTTTTAGCAGAAAAAGGGACAGGTTTTACGCTGTGGCAAGATCAAGTCAACCACCTGACCCGTTACAGCACTCCACACACAAACTTCCACACCATAACTATTTCTACAGACTCGACGCGTTTGGTCGGTCTCAGTTTTGATGACGGAAATGCAGCAGCCGACTTTGCAGACGCCGTACGAAAGTTAATTTCAAATTCAGATGATGACATGCTAAAATTGGGAAAAAAGAAGAAAAAGAAAAAAGAAAAGGATAAACAAAAAGCGAAGCCTCCAAAAAAAGTTGACATTTCTCAGCCTTGTTGTTTTGTGCATGTCACAAAGCTGGAGCGACCAAACTTTGGTGCCAACCTTTATCCACTTGCACCTAGCGAATCCCAGGCAGACACGTGGGGAAGAGCCATGAGTCAGAACTCCGGAATATCAGAGTCAACATCATCTTTGGATCAATGATTGGAATTCATTGGTCTTTATCGTGAAATCAACCAACTGACTTTGACCATGATTTTGAAGATCTGTACGATCGCAGCCATTCTAGTCGACTATGACAAAAAAAAAAAACAAAAAAAAAAACGATCATACATTGACAGCCCTATTCATCGTTCAGTGCGGCCTTAGTAATAGAATCTTGTACAAAGTTATTTTTATACATCATCACCTTCTTTAGATAATAAATAAATGAATTATATGATTGTGTTTGTGAAAATATGAGCAAAAATTCAAGTATCTAACCTACTCTAGCAAGTTCATAAAAAAGAATTCTGCTTGTATTAGACGGATCTGAAGTAGTCTACTAGATCTATCGTTTTTACTTTGATGTGCAAATATATTTTTAGAAATATTTCAAGTCTGAATAATCAGAGAAAGAGAGAGAGAGAGAGAGAGAGAGAGAGAGAGAGAGAGAGAGAGAGAGAGAGAGAGAGAGAGAGTATACTTTAGTAGAATTTTTTTATGTCTGCAATAATCTTTTCAACCGATCTACTTAATCAAATTAATAGCTAGATTCAGTGGTTCCCAAACTTTTTCGAGTGGCGACCCCCTTTTATAAAAAAAGTTAATAAAAAGTCTAGTGACAATTTAAGCGCAATTTCCTTAATTAATTTTTGTGACCGAACGAATCACCCGTAGATGTTTGCACCCCTTTTCGTTTCTCTCTACACGAGAAGAGCTAGTCCCCGCCCCCTCGCGAGATCTGCGCGAGTCTGGCCAATGGCAGCGTGACGTTACCTCTCACTAGCGACTGCCTCAGCCGGTGTGCTTGTGGTAGAAATATTTGTATATTCTTAGTAATCTTAGCCAATACAAATTAGAAGAAATTAATTTTTTTGTGACCGAACGAAAGGATATTTTTGAAAACTTTCTTCGGCATAATTGTTCTAAATTATGGCAAGAATCGATTGGTAAATGTTTCAAGTCGCTAAGTGGTCTGGTTGCCGAGATATGGGCCAAAAACTGCATTTTTTCGAGGTTTTTTGGCTTTTCCGGGAAATTCAGGAAGGAAACCCGGGGAATTTTTTTTGGCCCACAATCATCCTTGGAACTTGCTTAACATTTTTGCTTTTGGAACTAGTCCTCGATATTGCTTCGTTGAGGAGGAGATACGACTTAAAGCTGCGGACACACATCCATCCATCCAGAAATGACAAATTAATAAACGCAATTGTCAGTATGGAAATTGCACTAAAAATGAAGCCAAAAGCTATTTGTTTGCTGTTACTTTGTCACTGAGAATGCACATATTATGCCATCATTAGGTGATATTTTACATAAAAGTGTGATTGTATTAACAAATGTTGTCGGCAAATACAAAAAAGTGGAATTAACAGCAAGAAGATCGACCACAGTTTATGTACAGCCAATCCATGCTTGTCTTACGCAAGTGAAACATTGGGTTAAAATTTAGTCTTGATGAAATAAAAAGATATATCGTCTTGACATCCATCCATCCATCCATCCATCCATACAGAAATGACGGGTTAATAAACGCAATTCTCCGGAATGGAAATTGCGCTAAAAAGTAAGTGACCCCCATATAATTAAAAAGTCGAAATAAGTGAGGAATTAAATAAGCACTAAAATACTATTTTCTAGTAGACTGTCAATATTCATTATTCTTGATAACTGATTGAATGCCTCGACATTCGCGGTTGAGTTTTTGTTAACGCCAACCTCATGTCATTCTCAGCATTTAATTTATTTCTATGTTTTGTTCTTAATTGGAGAAGTGTTGACAATTTATTCTCGCAAAGATATTTAGACACAAAAGGAACTAAAACTCAAAAGGCAATCGATTTCACGTTTGGGTATGAACGGTGCATACTACACCAAAATTGTTTGCGCCGTTTTTCATTTAACACGATACGTGATGCGGCCATTCCGCAAATTTAAGAATTCATCTTGTAATTCATGGGGAATGCTGGTAATATCCAGGGAAACAGAGAATGGGTAACGTGTCAATGCAGATTCTTTTTCTTTCAGCTCATGGAAAATAACGCTGCAGTTCGTTTTCAAGAGATTCAAGATGCCAGAATCCAGTTTCAAATTTGTATTTATCTCTTAATCAGATTCATCTACCACACTGCAGAGTTTGTCAAACATGGAAATATTTCCAACATTAATTTTTCTTTGCCAATTTTGCAGCTTTAATAAAAATGCAAGAGATTATCATAAAAAAGATAATATTCGTTCATTTTCAGGTTAAGCTTATGTTGATGTTCGAATATGTCTGCTAGGAATGATACTCTCTCCAACCACTCTGTCGTTAAAGTATATCAAAAGGTCTTTTTTCCCTTGCACTTCCAAGAAAAGAACAACTAAATTTCACCTTTCAATTCAAAAACACGATTCACATTTCCTTTTGACACCCAGCGTACATGCAGTGGATTCCCCTTCATTAGAGAGCTAAATCTTTTACTTTATTTTGTGAAGCCCGATTTTGAACCAAACATGACGCACAATCCGTACAAGCCCCACAGCCGTTTTCCCATTTTAATAACCCAGCTTCAAAAACGATGAATTACAAGATGAATTCTTTGATTTGCAGAATGATTCGGAGTAAGATGAAAAACTGCAGACACAATTTTGGTGTAGTATTCACCATTCATACCCAAACGTAAAATTGATTGACTTTTCGAGAATATATTTTCAACACTATTCTTCGATTAAAAACAAAATTAAGATAATTATAATGACATAGGTAGGCGTTAACAAAAAATTTTAAAAATTAAAAACTTAACCACGAAGGTTTAGTGAATAGTATGCAATTTTACTCATGCTATTAAAACAGTTATCAAGAGTAGTTCATATTGAAAGTCTACTAGAAAATCTTATTTTAGTGCTTATTAATTTCCATACTAATTTCGGCTTTTTAATTCTATGGGGGTCGCGGGTCACTTTCTTTTTATAAAAGGGGGTCGCCACTCGAAAAAGGTTGGGAACCACTGATCTATTGTAACTCTTAAACTACAGTTCTGTCTGTAACTGCAAGTCAGAGCTCCAGCCTTTTTACTTTCTCGTATATAAGAAGTATAGAGAAAGTCTTGTAATCGTGCAAAAAAAAAAATCGAGATTTTTACAAATCACTGATACGGAAAAACATAATTTTGCAATCTTGTCCGTATGTCTGTGTGTCTGTGTGTGTGTGTGTCTGTCTGTCTGTCTGTGTGTAAACACGATAACTTGAGTACCGTTACAGCTAGGTTGATGAAATTTCATATATAAGTATTTTATCAAAATCGTAGATCCGTATCAACTTTTGAGCGATTCCCGATAACCGGAAGTGGTACTTTTTCTACTTTGAATTTTTCAAAAGCCTATAACTTGAGTACTATTTGAGATAGATAAATGAAATTTCACATGTAAGTAAAAGATCTAATTTTCTACCTTCTGACAAATTTTGAGTAATTTCCGTTGACCGGAAGTACTAATTTACGCTATTTCCGATTTCTGAAAAAACGCATATTAATTTATAAAGTACTTATAATATTCCGCACTATTATATATACACATTGCTTGGCGTTCACTCTGTGCGCAATTCTTTTTTCTATGAGATTCTATTCTAAGTAATTAAAAATGGATTTAAAATCATGTCTATATCCCGAGTTGCCATCTCCTCGTAGTGTTATATAGGAATATTCGACAACGTTTAGGGGAGATCACTCCCGATTTATTTTTTCAATATTTCAATTTTTAAAAAAATTTACAATAGAGCTGCATGAGTAAAATCACTCCCGGTTTATTTTTTCAATATTTCAATTTTTTAAAAAATTTACAATAGAGTTGCATGAGTAAAAACCATTGCGCACCTAATGAACATGATAACGCGCGTATAATAGTGCGGAATAGTTGGATAAGACTGCGGCAGGAATTTAAATATTTTTAAAACTTAAATAGCAATAGTTAGCATGAGTTGAATTTCTTTTCACATTACCTCCCCTGGCATAATTATTAATCTTTTTAATCAAATTATGTTATTCGACACTACTATTAAAATGTATCAATTTTTTTCTAGGAATCTAAGCGATAATATTATTTGACATTGATCTGTTTAATATATTTTAGCAATATCCGTGTGTTTACTATTTTCTCTACGTTCTTTCTTTTGTTGACGTATGCAAAAGAGTAAAAACTTTGCCAACAATAAAAAATTGAAGTTGTTACGTAAATAGACCCTAGATCTACTCCATCTATATATATAATTCTCTTCTGGGAGCCGTTAGAAAACAAGCAGCAAGCGCCTCCTTGCAGTCCCCTCTCTTTCTATCACTATCACTACCACCCCCACCCCCACATTGTCTGGTGAGCTGTGGTCACGCTGTTTACATTTACAATCATAGAGACGGGTTTGGTGACGGCTATTAGGGGCAGATAATTTAGTTTGAAACGATTTTAAACTTAGAGGAGGTAACTAAGAGGAGGCTGCTTTCACGTGGGGGGGGGGGGGGGGGTGGATAGTGTTTTTAAGCAAATATTTTCAGTGGCAGCATTGGTACTGTCGAATTCACAAATTATAAATTACTGAAAAGTAGAAAAAAAACAACTAAATAGCGGCGTATGGTACGCAGCGGGTCGGCTCGTAACTTATAATAAGACAATGCGATGCAAGTAAATGCACGACTTGACATGCCATAAAAATAAATACTACATTGTAGTGTAAAAATATTAAAAGCCAAATGCTGTCAAAAACACAACACAACAGTCAACAATACTCATTTTAAATACTTTTTTGTAACTTACCTTGATGTAATTTCTTATTGAGTTTTTTTTTTTGTGAGCATACTAGTGTTAACCAAAATGCACTGGCGCCGTTCTGGAGGGTGTCAACCGGCGCGCTGTCACCCCACCCCCTTAAATAAATGTGCATTTTCGGTATTTTTACGATAGGATGTCACCCAGTGCGTACAGCATCCCGCCCAGTGACACCACTGACTACATTACTCCACCCTTCATCCGATCCCCATCAAACTTACGGAAGTTACTGAGAATACTCATGAGAAGGTGTCTATTTAATTTTTTTTTCGTAGTGGCGGCGCCCAACCCGTAACGTACGGATGGGCGCCCCAAGTTTCCCAGCGGCTACCTGAGCACACGGGTCCGTTCTGCACATGGCGCCATAGGTACTACTTGATTCAACAGTAAAACTGCAACAGGTGCAGCCGCCGGCACCCCTATGAGCACTATGGTACCTGCATTCGTTTCAAGAGCACCCTGAATAAATCCGAACCAAGGGTCGCACCCGGCGTCCAGTAGTATGTGTAACCAGTGGCTAGCCATGGTAAGGTACAAAATCTGCCAAGGATAGCGGAAATATGTAAAATGCTCTCACGTCCTGTCATTACAGTTAGCCTATATTTATTAGTTGTTTATTTTATTTATAGTTATATTTTTTTTTATACCTTGTTTCAAGGGCTGCGAAGGTTACGAGTTTAAAATCTGTCATAGACAATCCTGTACTCTTCAGTTGTTTGCACCCGATGGATAGTAACTGCTCTTTAACTTTCCGCTATAATTGCGGTCATATTGACACCTTGTTCTTCATTTGTTGGAAGGGATCGAGTTTTATCACGAGACTTTTTTAAATTAAATGAATTTTTTTGCCGGCTCGACCGCACCTCCAACACAATTAAGTGTACTGGTTATGCGCCTCATCTGCCCGAGGTTTCGAACTCGAGACTTTTTGGTTTAGCTGCCATGAGCTTTTGACTCGATCACGCCTACATCGTACTTTGATGGTTGTCTATATATGAATTATGTAGTAACAAATATTTTGTGGTATTAGTATTTCTATCGGCCTTCTGTCCTCTAATGATGGTTGGTTTCTTCAAACTGGAGAAGTTAAGAATGTCTTATTTGAGGAGTAAGATGTTTCCACAGATGCATTGTGTTGTTCCATTCAATTCAAGTAATTTTTTTTTTTTTTTTACATTTCCAGAGAATTTTTGCTGTCCTTAAATTATTTTAAAAAAAAATTAACATTATGCCTAATAAACTAAAGAAGCTCTGTTCAACTATTATGCATTACTTTATTAAGAACCAGTCTTTTGCCTAACAAAAAATGCAACCATAATTTAATGCAAAGTTCCATTATATCAGCAGTCAAACTGACCAACTTAAATAAATAAAGATTAAAAACAAACTATCACATTGTACGCTTATAAAATCTGAAATACAATACATGACAAATACACTCATTTCATGCAATTCTGTATGCTATTCCATTAAGAATAGGATAAAAAATAATAAATCTTTAAATTAGGGGTGGGTTTAAATACATGAAAACAATTTCCAAAGCTAAGCTATAGGTAACAAAAATACTGTGCATTTTTCAATCTACTAATTCTCATAGAAGTCAAATAAAAAAAACAACAACATAAGAATTTAAAATAACTGAAAACAATAGTATTCTGTGTACAAATGGAAGTTGATTATGTGTTAAGCATGACAAAAAAAAACAACCATTCAGTAAAATTATCCTCCAACCTATTGTTACATATAATGACACTGAAAGATTTCATAAAAGGACAATTTTTTTTAGCATTCATTCATATTGACACATTTTTTTAAAAATACCTACACATATATTTTACAATTGAAACTTTTTAAAAAAAAGAAGACACTAAAAAAAAAAATACATTTTAAAAATGAAACAATAAATATTTAATGAATATGTATTAACAATTTAAAACAATAATGTATTTAAATAACACACAAAAAAGTTGTGCCTTATCCATGATCATATTTGAATATGAATAGTTGACTCTTATATTATGGTGTGATATACTTATTGCACAAGTTAGTTGATAAGCACTATACTGAGAAAAATCCAAAGCTTGCTTTGTTTATGCAGATTAAAATCCACCTAAAATTCAAGCTGTTTTACTTCCACATCGTGGGGAGGGGGAAAGGAGGAGGAGAAAGGGAGAGAGGAGAGAAGAAAGAGAGGAAAACCCCACCACCAAATTATTAATATAAACTTCAGCTACATTTAGTTAACTCTAAAAGTAGAAAATCTTTTTAAAAATTGGACATATATGGTTTGAAGAAATAAATCGTTACAATGTAAGATAAAATATAACATATTTAATGACAGTACATCTTGCCTTTTACACAACAGTATGATGTTAATTTTAGATAGTAGAAATAACATAAAAGCTGCTATAACTATAATGAAGTTGAGGCACACAAGGCAGAAAATAAAGAAAGCACTCTTTGACTACCTCACTTAAATTCTTCACTTAATAATTAGTAATTTTTTCTTAAGTTGCTAAAATTATAATTGATATGGCACAGTAATTTACTAAAGGGTTGGTTATTACTAGATATAAATAAAATCAGTATAGGGTATGATTCTTAACACAACCAACACTGTTACATTTCGTGTTAAGGTGGCTTCAGTCATAAAAGGGCCAGTAGTCAATATTAACTGCTACTATAATTGTTCTCTTTTTAAATTAACTATGGACTTACCATAAGACTAAATACAACATGAATTTACAAAGAGTAAAACAACATGATTAAATATGTTCTGATAAAAAAAATTGAGTGGATGTGAAAGATGATAATAAAGAAAACTGGAACAGCTTAACAACTGTTTAAATAGTTTTGTCTGGATCAATCTACATCAGTTTTATTTTACCAAGTATAAACTAGAATGATGCAATAAAAAGTTGTGTTTAGATTACAAATATTACTTTAAATAGTATATCTTAGTAATATTTTATGATCTAGTGAACAACTACATAGTAATGGTTTTTTTAGCCAATTTACTTGGAACTTTTAACAGAAAAGTTGTACAGTTATGATCTGATGATGCAGAGGTGGAATTTGAGGTAAGCATTTTTCTAAGATTTCCTGTTTGCTGGATGACATGAATAACAGTTTCCTTATTTTGGGTCATTAACGATTCAGGTACAGCAAAAACAGACTGGCTCTGGTTTACTGGGGTCAATGGCGGAGTGAAGGGTTCTACAGTGGGTCGGTGATTTACCTGAGGGGAAACTGAGATGTGGGAAACAAAAGGGTTGGAAATAATTCTAACAGGAATGGGTGTTTTTCTAGGTGTTACTATACTGCATTTAGATTCTGGTGTATTTGGCGTAAGGTTATTAGTGCCTTGACTAAGCTGGCTACAAGAATTGTTGCTCATTTGTACTGTAACAATTTTAGGTGAAGGAACAATACTTAACCTATTAACACGCTGCACAGAGGATACAGGCACACAATTTGATGGTGGCATGCTGTTTAACCTCCTAAGACCAATTTTTATTTCAGTGGTCCCAGCTTTTTCCATTTGACTTGATTCATGTATGACAGATTCTAACCTGATGTGCTTCTTATCAGGTCCATTCATTTCAACAATATTTCGTTTCAGAGTTCGATTAAGAAATGTCCCGCGTAGGGGACTTGTCTCATTGAGAACAGCCATTTCATAATCAGGTGACCGCAACTTACTCCCATTTGAATCTTTTCCAGCATCCTTTGGCGACCTATTAAAAATAATTTGCCTCTGCGCATGTGACTTTGCTATTCGTAGGGACTCGAGCACTTGTTCAAATTGAGATCTAGAAAGGGGGATTTGCTGAGGGGTCCCATGTGTATCTACAGACTTAAGCTCCCCACTTTGAGAGAGTATTATAGTCTCTGTTGGTTTGGTTCCAGGTGTGGGAGTAGAAAGATAGATGTTCTTAACCTGAGCAGGAGTTGCCTGTGTGGCGTGTGGAGTTACAGAACCTCTGACAACTTGATCCTCAAAGCTCAGATGCTTTGTTATTGTCATTGGACAATCTAAAATGAGAAAAAAAAAAGTGTATTTGTTAAGTATACTTCTATAGAAGCAGATAAGTTGAAAAAAAAATGAACCAAACCATGTTTGGGTGTGTGTGTGTGTGTAGAGGTGGAAGGTCCAGACTCAGGTGAACAATCATGAAAGTGTGTATTAGTGTTGGTCCGACCATTGAATTTTACATTAAGAGCATATTAACTTTCAAAACAATATATTCGCCCTGCATACAAAGTATATAGTTTAAAGGAACTGCTCATGTTAAATCAAGCATTGCTGCAGTCTAAGAAGAAAGGCTCACGCATTATTTTTAGAGGATTTTTATCAATGTGTTACCTATCTTGTATTTCTAGACGAGAGACCTCGGGTTAAAAAACAAAGTTATTTAAATGTTAACAATGCACGGTTTGCCCACGCTACAGCCCTCATATATGCAGTAAGAGAGCCTTGAGTGTAAATTAGTCACCCTCTGTAATAGTGAGGCAGACACCTCAGTGACCGCTCATGTGTCAGGGGCGGCGTAAGGAGCGCTAGGGAGCCACGTTACTCTACAGCAGGGTCGGCGGTGATAACCCATTGTTCAGTTTTATCATCGTATGTACGTCTTTAAAAAAAAATGTAGGCGCTGTAGTGTTCTCAGTAATATCTCCAAAGTTTAATGGCGAATGGATGAAAGGTGTAATGCATAAAGGACTAACAAGCACATACACAAATAAACTTGCATTTTTTTTATATATAGATAATATATCAGTTCAAATAATATAGAAAAGCTATAGACTGAGCTTAATTTAATATTATCTATCTGCTATTTTACTTTGTTCAAAAAAAAATTACAAATGAATTAAATGATTTGAAGAAAAATTTGAAGAAAGGAATGAGAAAATATAAAAATAAAAGTTGTGAAAATATTTGTAGAACTAGATAATGGAATTAAAAACAATTACAACAATCAGGTAGGAAGCTGACTTATTTAAAAAACCGTAACTTTTTGAATACATTTTTTAAAGGTACCTTCAAAGCTAAGTTTTTTCACAGGGCTGGAAGGTTCTGACGAAGAGCCAATAAGAAGATTTCTTTCTTGCTCCACTACTCGACAAAATTCATCAAACGATGAATGCCGAGACAGCTGAGCATACTGTGGTTTTTGTAATTCTGTGAAGTAAATAAAATGTACAATTACAATTTTAAGAAGTATTTTCAGCAGTATTATTAGATAACAGCTAACAAGGGGCTATGGTAAACAGTTAAATTTTCAGTAATAATTGCATCCATATTTACTCTCAGAACATCATTAAATTAGTCATTTAACATTTTATAAAGCAAACTAAAAATATAAACATGCCTAATTTCTGATGCTAAATCATTCATCATTGCAAATTGATAGTGCTTTCCAAAAGACATGCAATGTTAATTGTTACTAACAGAAAAGTGATATATTATATATAATATACAATCATTTTCTATCGCTAGAATTTTGCTTCAAGTAAAGAATCCTCTTTAGCCCTAGTGATCCATAGGGCAGTAGATAAAACAGATCCTACCAATATTCAAACCTCCATACCTTGCTGTAACGCACTGATTGAACATAGTATTTAGCCAAAACCGCTGAAAATTTGCATTTTAGGGTCATTTTTTGTAGTTAGGCTGCATAAATAAAATTTATGTTAATAAAGTTTGTCTTTATCTCCCAAAAATATGGCATTTTTATTTATGAAACACGTTTGAATGTGTATTATATTTGTTTGAAAAATGTCAGTTTTGAAAACAAAATTCACCATTTTCATTTTGTCGCTACTTCACTGCCTAGCATCGAGAAACATGATCTTAATGTCACGCGAAAGAGTAAATGGTAGCTTGGACGACCCCTTACAACTCCACTAAGTTTAGATTCTCTTTCTCTTACACCATTAATGTTTTTCCTAAAGGATCTCTGCCTTTCTTCACTAATTTCAAGAGAAAAACTCATACATTCTCTACTTTACTGAAACAGACAAAAGTGTCAAGAAATGCATAAGGAAAGACAGAGTTATTTAGAACTGCTGGCAAGTGAAGCAGAAGAAGCACTGTATTATGGGAATATTAGGGACGTGTACAATACAGTTAAGAAGATATCTGGGAAGTACAGTAAGCCAGTGAAGACCAAAGATGGAAAGATAATACCTGATGCGGAAGGACAGAGGAAGAGATTGGCAGAACATAAGAAGAAGAGATTAGCTGAACATTTTGAAGAACTACTGAATAGACCAACACCAGAGTGCATGCAAGATATACCACCAGCTGAAGGTGATCTCCCTATAGACTGTAACCCACCTTCAAAAGAAGAGATACATAAAGCATCTGAAAAATTGGAAGGCTCCAGAAATAGATGGTAAACCGGCAGAAGCACTGACAGCAGATATAGAAACTAGCACCACACTACTGCACACAGTCTTCAAGAAAATGTGGGAAGATGAACAAATACCAGAGGAGTGGAAGGAGAGACTACTCATAAAACTTCCAAAGAAAGGCGATCTTAGTGCATGCACTAGCTATAGAGGGATAACACTTTTTTCCATCCCAGGCAAAGTCTTCAACAGAATATTATTATTAAACAATGAAGGAAGCGATAGACCCCCAGCTTTGAGATCAACAGGCGGGCTTTAGGAAGGAAAGGTTATGTGTAGACCAAATTTCTACCCTGCGCATAATCATGGAACAGATCTAAGATTGGAACTCATCTCTCTATATTTAATTTCATAGATCACAAGAAGGCTCTTCTTTCTCACACACAACAGCAAATGTAAGATAAAACCAACAGTTGCTAATTTTTCTACATGCCTGGGCCTCCACAGAGGGAAAAGTAAAATTCTCAAAGTAAATGCATCAAGCAGCAACCCTATAACATTGGCAGAAGAAGCCCTAGAAGAAGTGGATATTCACCTACCTTGAAAGTATTGTTGATAAGCAGGGTGGGACAGATGCAGACATACAAATAAGGACGGGCAAGGCAAGAGCAGTCTTCAACCAACTAAAAAAAATGTTTGGGGTTTTGGAGATTTAACCCTTGGAATATAAATCCGGTTCTTCAACACACTAGTAAAACCTGTTTTACTCTATGGAGCTGAGACATGGAGAATAACTGCCACAAAAAAGAAGAAAATACAATCATTTTTAAACTCATGCCTTAGAAAGATCCTTCAAATACGCTGGCCTAAAACCATCAGAAATGAGGTACTATGGCAACGGAGAAATAAACTGCCAGCTGAGGAAGAGGTCCTCCAGAGAAAATGGAAATGGATTGGCCACACACTCAGGAAGCCTACACCCAGCATAACAAGACAGGCCCTCACCTGGAATCCACAGGGCAGGAGGGGGAGAGGCAGACCAGGAAAGACCTGGAGGAGTGACCTGGAAGAAGACACCCGGAAAGCTCTTGTCAGCAGCCTATGTCCCTGGAGGGGCGACAGGCAAACCTAACCTAATTCTCTACGTATTCTGATTAGTAGGCCTCCATGAGGTTGATTTTGTTTGTTATTTGTAAATGTTTCTTAAATTTAATCTATATCAAATTCATTCTTACAGTAACATGTTAGGTATAGGTTGGTTTACTAATAGTATGTTGTAGATATCATAACACCATTATAACTTCTGATGTGCCACCAAAAGATTATAATTAAAATTAAATATTTCTTTTGACTGAATATATTAGGGGATTTTTTTTTAATTTTTTTTTTTTTTTGCTGCCTAAATTATTTTCCTTTGATCTACAAATTTTTAATATTTTACAAATTAATTGTCATGCCACCTTTTAATTGTGAATATTTACTAAATATAATTTCTTAGGTGTCAACTACTGTTATATTGGCTTTAACCATCCACTGTGTCATTATTTTTTTGGTACACAATGACAAGACAACATGATTTTGATTTATTTTCATAGTTATATGACTTTTTATTTTAGATCATGCATTTTTAAACTATCATTTTCAAAATATTGTGCAGTTGGTACTTTGTGCATGTTTTTACTAGATCTACCTGTAAATATTTCTTGGTGGCCATAAAAACAGAGAGCATGTTGCTCTGCTTAAATGTATCTTCATTGTGACATTTAAAATGTTATTTCTACATCAAAAAACAAAATTTTCTAGGAATTTTTTTATTGCGTCATATTATTTTTTTAAACTCAACTTTACTCTAGAGAAATGAATTTTAGAAGACAACATTGAGCATTGATATTACAATTTCTGCACTTGTATCTATATATATAATTCTCTTCATGGGGACCATGAGAGACACCACGTAAACACACGCAGTTACACCCCTACTCTCTAAGCATATAGCTACCACCCCCATCCCCAGTTTGGTGAGCTGTAAAGTAAAGTTTCCCTTTCAAACCTGGCGGTATATGGGGCAAGTGAAGTAGAGTTCACTTGTTTCTGTGACCTCGGCATATGAAGAGATAGTGTGGTCAGCACTATGCCCAGCCGCCTTTACTTTCCCTAACATAAGTTAGGTACCCATCAGAGTTGGTTGGACTCAGGGACGGTCTACTGACTTGAACCCGGATTCGAACTCGAGACTTACGGGTTAGCAGTCCAGCTCTCTACCGCTAGACCACTCCGTCCCTTTGGTGAGCTGTGGTTAACACTAAATGTTTACAATCGTAGAGACGAGTCAAATTAATGACGGCTATTAGGGACAAATAATTTGAAACTAAGAGGAGGTAACAAGTTCTGATTGATATTTTCACTGTCTTCGTTACCATTTTTGTCAATGTTTGTCCAGTTTTTTTAAAAATAAAAATAGAATAAAGAAAGCAGGGAAAAGCTACCGGTTAACATTAAGCAGTATTTAAATGTAGCCTAGAGACTAGTTATATATAACTATATATATATATATATATATAGTTATATATGTCATTAGACTAGGTTTTAAATATTTATTGATGTTTTAAATTTTGACATAGTAAAGTAGCGTCCGCGCAGATGTTCCTCTGTTTGGCTTCAAATTCCTCTTTTTAGGCTTGACTGTTCCTACTTTTGGCAGACAGGGGTAGGCATGTCTGTTAGTGAGCCATAAAGCTAAAAATCAAAAGTTCTACCAGAAGAACCTCACTACAGATGTCTACAATCAATAGTTTATTCCAGTTTGGACTACGCCCTTATTTGAATTATCTCTAGGGATAAATTACAAAACATTTGCGCAATTAGCCTATTAACCTAGTTATGATATATCTATAAGATAGAAAAGCATTAAAATGGACTGAAAAACAGTATTGCAATATTTTCTTTTAAATCTAATAGTAAAAAAAATAATCCCTGGACAAAGCACAATTTAGCCATTAAATCACTTACTCGCATTTTCTCCAGAATACACAGATCCAGCTGGCTTGATAGGACGAAATCCTCCTTTCATAATATCTTGGACTGTAAAATGTATAATGATTATAAAAGCTAGCTATTTGTAATCACTAAGTTACAATAATGGATCTATTTTAATAAAATATTGAGAATAATTATAGATATAACAGGAATGCTTAATGAAAGCACATTTGGAGCAGAAGACTGTTGTAAAGATTTGATTATTAAATAATGCATTCTTTTATTTTTAATATGACAGCAAACTGGCCCTATAACATAGCAGGTACAACCATTCAAACTAGAACTGCTGCATGACTCTAGATTACCAAGACCAGCTATTGTTTTCTTCAGCAAGCCACGCTTTTTAATGAGTTCACTATCTTTTAGGTTAAATCTTAAACTTAATGTTGAGCCATCTCCAATAGAGAGGTTTCTTTCAAACTGCAGATTCTTGCACATCCAAGAAAATTATGCTAACTAAATTAAGTTATTAAATCTTAAAAGATACTTTAAAACAAATATTTTTATGATATCCATAATAACAAGCAATATACATGGAAAGACTTGATGAGAATATTTACTTAATGAGAATATTTAAAGATTTTTAGAGTATCTAATGCATTTACTATTTTACCTAAAACACTTGATTTTTATCTTGTTACACATAGTATGGGTGTTACAATCTGATTGGATTGTTGGCCTGCAACAGCTTATATTGTTTTTACTCTACAGAGAGAATATACCAGTACTTTTTCAGTGTTGTGTGACCTGTGGTTGACTTTCACAAGTCCATTACCAAGGCTTCGAGCTGTCATGTCAACGTTGGAAATAGGTCAAAATATATAGACCTGCGGCAAATTGTCATCTTTTGCCTTGTTGACATCATTTGATATGGTGATGTCATAACCATTATGTAATATAGCATGGCATAACAACTGTACCTGTGTAATGAGGTATCTTTGTTTTATTTTCCATATTAAAATAGAATCTCACCATTTTCATTCTTAACACAATCTAATAGAGAGTGTCTAGAAGTTGGACGATGACATCCATCATTTGAGCACACTGAGACTGAGAAAAATGAATAGTAGAATAGAAAAAGATTATGTGTTGTCTCTCTAAAACAGACAAAGACCTTAAAGACCTGTTGATTTAAAAAAAAAGCGAAAATCAAAACTGAACTTAATAATAATAAAAACTATAACATAGACATGGTTAAAAAAAATTAGAATTTAAGTGAAAAACAAACACTAAAGCTTGTGGAAGAGTGTATATTTAATTTCAATGTGGAAAGTATAGAAATCCCTGTTTCTTAGTGTTTAATAAAAATAATGGTTCAGGATAATGGGTTTGGTCTCTTAATATAGGATATAGGTTTAAGATTTTTATATTTGATCTACAAAAAGAATCAATGTTTGGGCGTATTCATCTTGACTTTAGGGTTCAGCTTAAATAGTTTGTGTAATTCAAATAATTGTGTGTGGATATCCAGATATAAGTGCATACAGGAAAAAGTGGTGCTTTGTTATTGAAAGTTATGTTAGAGATTGTGGACATGTGTAAGACAAATATGATAACTTTTTTGTCTATAAAAAACTTTTACCACTTCCCCATGAGTGTGACTAATGTGAAATAGGCATATATATTATAATTGGGAGATAGAAAATGCATTTATCATTAAAATTAAATATAAATGTATGCATAATTGATTATCACATTAAGTTGGACAATTTAATCCCCAGACAAAAACATCCTTATATTCTTATTAAAAAAAAAACAACAACAAAAAAAAAACAAGCAAATGGCTTAAAAATGTGTTTCAACTCTTTCTAACCCCCAGGTCACAAAATTTCCAAACTCACACTAGCCCCTAAGATTGACATTTATGGATGACCCCTTTAAATATAAGCAAATCCATTATAAATATATTGATTAAGATGTCAAAACCCAGCTAGTATTGCAATTTTCCATTATCCATCCTTTAAACAAGCTAATAAACCAAAATACTCTGATGTATTTTTCAAAGTCATATTAAAGATTGAACTTACTGTCATGGATGTCATCTACATTAGGGCCAATATATTGAAAAGCAGGCTTTCTGCCTCTGATTTCAGTCACATGTATTTTCTTTATGAGCCCTAAACTTGTTAGTATATTTGCAATGTCATAAAGCCTTCTTATCTTTGCTGAAAAGAGAAATTAAACCAGTTTTAAAATATTCATCTTACATATTTATAAGCAGACACAGTAACACAGTTGTGACACCACTGTCAAGAGTTAGGATTAATAGTAGGAAAAAAAAGCAACTAACAAAACTTATGTAGAATGTACAAAAACATTTTTTTTAATGTAGAAAAATCATTTTTCTCAGCTGCAGCTGTAACTATAAATTGAATGAAACCTTGATTTACATAAATATTGTGAGTTATGAAATACAATCTTCTATTTAAAAAAATATATACTACAGGCCTAGAGTATATAATTATTATTATTTTGTAGTGAATTTAGTTAGTTGGGCTTTGCAGACCAAGAAAAAACTCCCACTCCTTAAAAAATACTTTTTAGTTGGGTTTTATAATTGGTAAAACCAGTCTAGCACACTACAAGGATATTACAACTTTTTGAAACTGAATTTCTAGACTTATTTTAGGAAAACTCCAGACTTAAAATAACGCTGAAGTGACACAAAACAATGTAAAATTTTAAATATCAATTTAATTATAGTATTCAGTGTATACATTTATATCAGGAAACTGTTCAGTGTTCTATTGAATTAAAAAAAAAAAATTCAAAGTGGACACTGTTAAAAGTATATAGTTTTTATATAAATTCCATTTCATTCGGGGGGTGGTGGGGTGTTTAGACTTTCTTTGGAAGAGATGCCTGGAAGAAACTCTGTATCCCTCTCTCCAACAAAATAGCTTTTTGTATGTTAGACAATAGCATACATAATAAATACTACACACAATTTGTACCAGAAAAAAAAAATTGCCTTAGGGAAAAAAATAAGCCAATGGTGTTACAAATATGTTTCTACTTTAAAAAAAAAAAACAACTTACTTTTAAACTTTGAGGCTTCAATATTTTCAATAGAACCATCCCCAATTAAAATTTTAGCAGAAAGTTCAAGGTTGACTGTCTTTGGCTGCAACAAAGATATAAAATGTTCAAAGAGGTATAGGATTTTAATTACATTATTTAAAACAAGCTACAAAAAGAAAAAAACAACTCATTAAAAAATAAGAGGATTAACAACAGTCCAACTATAAATGTCAAACTATAACACACAAAGTTTTACGCAATTTAAAAGTGTCTTGTGAATAAACTACAAAAAATCCATATGTATCGAGTGTCAATCCACGGTAATTAAAACTCCAAAATTTAATGATGCTAACTTGAAGTAATACTATTGATAATTTGCCTATTCAGCTGTGCTACTCCAATCTTTGAAAAAAACAAAACAACAACAGTTCAACGAGTCACGGCCAGAGCGATTTCTAGATTTAAATATTGTTATCTTTTTATTACTGAATATGATATTAATTTTTAATTTAAATGACTGTTAGATTAATTCTTGTATTGTCACTGGAGACAAATGAATCTAGATATTTTGAAAAAGTAATCGCTGCATTAAAAGTGGATCAAAATATTAAAATAAAGTTGTAAGATTAACCATAACCCACAAACAATGCAAACTAAATAACAGCTACTAAAAAACAACAAAAAATGTAATAAAGGAAATTATAATTAAGATATCATCCAAACTTTAATATGGCCCTAGCCAATCATTTTTTATTTAAATCTTTAAAAAATTTACAAAAAAAAAACACATGTAAACAGAAACTGACCTTTGAGACAAGAAATAGCATAAGAAACTTCTGACTCATAATTCCAAGTGATTTATCTTTCCTCTGCAATACTAAAAATGTTTTAAAAATTAATAACAAATATATCAGATTTAAAAAAATGCTATGACTACATGTGTTTTGGACCAGCAACTTAAATAGTGTGACTAACTTTCATGAAAATATTTCTAGTAATTTTACCTGTCTCCAAAGTAAGTCAAATAATATTTTGAATTAAATTATATCCAAAGATTAATATATTCCATTAAATTATGTCCAAAGATTAATATATTCAAGGCCTGAAATAGTTCAGTAAAAAACCAAACGAATTTTTTTTATAATTACAAAACAAAAACATACAAATTATTCAAACTGCATTTGTTTTTAACTATTTTTTTGTTTCTTTTGGACCAAAATATCAGTAGTTCTAGTTGATCAGTAAAAAAATTGTTTATATTCTCAAATTAGAAGATGTTAAGCATATCCTATAGAAAATTAATACTATTGTTGGAGCTTAATAGAAATAATTAAATAGATCAATAAAGATAAAGCCCTAGCCGAAAGATAGTAGTGCATTAAAACACATCAAACTTTTAAATCTGTAACTATCATGTCTATATATTGGACGACCATCTTGTTTTGAAGTTAGATATTTAAATGAAAGAGCTTGTTGAATGTGCTCGTATCATAGGCCTCACGGTCAGCGCAACCATGAAAAGTGGACAAGGTAAAAGTTATATAACGAGAACAGCACATTCCTCTTCACATTTCGGTTTCATACTTCATAGTCTTTTTTAATCGATTCGCTGTTTATACAATATAGAATAGAAAGAGAAACAAATAGTCTAGGTCGGCGAAAAAGCTTTCTGTCTTTTTTTTAAGGAAAAAGAGTTCTGTAAAAACAGAAAAGTTACATCTGTGCATCGAGATAATCTTGTAAAGAACCAAGTTATATATAAGGTTCAGCCTAGCAGTCGTGTATACACGACGTCACATTAACAAGCCATTAATGGCTAGACTACCACACAACAAATTGCATCAAAAAGTTCGAACCTCGCTAATATTTTTTTTCAGGACTTTATTTCTGGCTAGCTTTATGAAAATCTTGGGTAAAATCGAGACACAGTGTTCATGAGTGATCACTCTTTCTTCTTCTTCTTCGTTCTTAATTTTTTAGTGTTGGAAGGGATCTGTCAGATGGTTTGAACTCGAGACTTGTTTCGAATTTATTAACCACGAGGTTTTGCCGACTTGACCACGCCTCCATCACAATTAAGGATTCGTGTCAACTGGTTATGCACCACTGAGGCCATTGACTCCGATTTTAGCCTGCTTTCTATTTTGATTTGCTTCCATAGCCTTTGTCCAACCAAGAACAAACTACAATCAATCCTTCTAAACTATTAATAATATAATAAGCTGGCTAGTTTTTGTAACAGAAAACACTCTTTGAATTTCAAACACTTTTCCAGTTGCATGTGTTTCTATTTCTACATTCGAATATTGCTTTATTTTTTTTTTTCTTTAAATAAAATTTAGTTTATACATTTAAAAACATCCACCATGTTATTTTCAACAGAAGTCTGTATCTATAAGTTCTACATATATTGCTGAAGATACTGGTCTCCTAGGCTTGGGATATGCGGACAGAGAGAGATACAAAACTTGTTTAATTTAAAAAATATATTTACAATTAATACCTATAGGAAATAATTGCTTTCAATTTGATTAATTAGTTTTCTTTACATTTTCGCTTAAAAAATAATTTTATATTGCAAGACAAAATTTGTCAAAGCCACAATGACGGAACAAATTTTTTTTTTTGTGATATAGCTGAACAATTTCTCAGTGTCAGCTTTTAAAAAAATAAATGAATAAAGATGAGCTACATAAAATTTCAAAGCCCATGAGACTGAACCCATCGTGATTTCTTTTCAAAGTAAAACATTGCAAAACTTAGAACTGGAATCAAATTAAAATTCAAAAAAATATTTGTACCTGTCTGCGAGCTCTCATCTAATTTTTCCTCCTCTGCTTTAGCACCCTGATTTCTTAACTCTTCCAGTTCTCTAGCCATTTCTTGCTCTTTGATTTTTAGCATTTGTTCAGCAATTTTATCTTGTTTAGCTAAAATCTGAGAAAAAAATGAATTCAGAAATATAGTACACTGTGTATTATAATTAGAAATTAAGATCAACAACCATTTTTTAAAATACAAATACAGCTTTAAGATAGTTCTTTTTCTTATGCTTAATATTCCAAAAAAAAAAAAAAAAAAAAAAAAAAAAAAAAAAAAAAAAAAAAAAAAAAAAAGGGGCAGCTTATAAAAACTGTCAAACACACACACACACAAAAAAAAAAACAAGTTACTTACTCTTAATTTGACCAAAGTATGAGGTAAATTAGTTTTCCCATGCCACGTGTATTTATTTTTTGCTGCTCTGCTAACTATTTCAACACTTTCTAAAACATTCACAATATCATAAATTCTGCGGCGCTCGACAGCTGGAAATAAAAACATATTAATAACAATGTGAGATTAGTTTAATTCACAGCTTATTGGAATCAACATTTTATCTACACAAAATAAACTTAATAAACTGACAAAACAAAAACTCTTTCAGCACAAAATAAAATGAGTAGGCATACACAAGTCTTTGGCAACTTCATCCAGGCAAATATCAATCCGCATGTTGCCAGGATGTTCAGGATATTTTTGTAGAAATCTGTTTAAGATAGAAAATAAATATTGTTAAAAACTTAAATTTGTAAATATAAATTTCTTATATTGACATAGTGATAGATCTAGATCTATATTCATTTGAATAAATACAATATTACAATTACAGGCTCTAGAGAGAAAAATACTGTAGTGACAGCAATTAAAACTCACTTGTCACAAAGTTTCCCTAAAGATTTATCTTTCCTTGATGTTATTACTTCCATTTCAAGACTGAAAACACTTTCTTGGGATGAGCCAAAATCCATGCAATCCTGACTATTTTCTTCACAGTTGCTAGCATTTGGATTCAAAGGAACAGTTGATCTGCCTTCATCTATACAGTTCTTTTGCTGCTGCATCCTTCGTATTTCTGGACTGACAGCTGTACACAGCATTTTTAAATTCCAAGTAGGACTGGGGGGTGGAGTTGTTGACAAGTGAGCATTATCCTCACGGTGGGAATAATTACTAAGTGATGAATTGCCCTGATTATTATTTGCATCAAAAATATCATTGCTTGATTGTAAGCTTACAAATGCCTTATTCTTTCCACTGTCTTCGAAAGACTTTTTAGAACTCTTTAATTTACACATTGAAACTTTTCCTGCCATATTTTCTTTGCCAAAAGGCTTTGGAAACCTGCGACATGTGTTCTGATCAGTTGATAAAAAGTTCTGGTCTGATAAACAGCGTTTCAGTCTCTGGCCTAATCTTTTATTTGTTTTTGTGTCTGCCATTCCTGCAACAGGAAAAGATTTTTAAATTGTTTAAAATATATTCTGTTGTAGAGGATAGATCTAGTAATATAATATAGATCTAGCCTACTTTTCAAAATATTTGCCTCACCTATGCCTATTCACAATAACATTATTTCCTCCTGCCACTCCCAGAGTCCCCCCTCCTCAAAATGTTAACTTTCTCAAAACAGCTAGATCTAGATCTAGATTATAATTATTATCTTCATGAAATAGTAACAGAGTGCAGTCAACATTGAGTAGATCGTCTAGATTAATAGATTTAGATCTAGATCTATTGCAATACTAGATCTAGATCTAGAATCTAATAACTAATAGTTACAAAATGAAGTCTAATAAATAAAAAACGTGTTAAAAATGTCACACATTGATCACATTCTCTGATTCTGAACCCCCACCTCCCCCATTATTAAAGTTAAGGATAGCCCATAATTCTAGAGAATCTCTAGATTCTAGAAGTCTACATCTACATCTAACTCTAGTTTAGTAGTTTGAGTGATACCATTACAATTCATTACATAAATTACAATCTTACCAGGATCATCACCAAGAGGTCACTCTAGAATCTAGATTAGAAATCTACAATTAGATAATAGATATCTAGATCTAGATCTAGAAATCTAGATCTAGATACAAGGCACTAAAAATATAGATCTAGAAATCTAGATCAGTAGGCCTAGATCTTTAGATCTAGAATTCTAGATCTAGAAATCTAGTAGAGTCTAGATTTTAGATCTAGATATTCTAGATCTAGATTTAGTCTGATCTAAGATCTAGATCTAGATCTAGATCTAGGTGTCTAGATCTAGATCTCTAGATGTAGTCTAGATCTAGATCTAATCTAGAATCTAGATTCTAGATCTAGGTTTTTTTCCCTCCCTCGGTGCGAGATTAAAATCAAACATGAAATTTAGTTCTAATTCGAGCCATCAAAGCTCTAATAAATCGCGTCTAGATCTAGACTCTAGGTCTAGATCTAGAATCGGTTCGCTTTAGAAAACTGTACCTTACCGTCTCGTCTGAACAATATTAATATTACCTTTTGAAAGCCCACTGTATGTTAGGATAGCGTTCGAAATTGGCGCGTGATAGCGACGTACCTTTTACTTCCCGTGCCCGTGAACCAGGATAATCATATGCATGGAAAACCGCGCCTCGCGACGGCCCGAATGTTTATTTTACGCGAGGAGATCTGTTAAACAAGGACAGTCGATCACACAAGGCTACTGTTAGGCTAGGCCAAGTGCTGTTACTGATAAGACATAGATCTAAATCTAGCCATCAGTAATCTTTGGAAACGCTAACATACTGATCCACTCAGTATTTTTCTCTTTGAATTCTCTATTAAACTATCAGTAGCAAGGATACTATAAAGGCTAACTTTAGACTAGTAGAAACGACTTGGCAGGGGCGCAGCGACCCATCCCTGCGTCCAAGCAAACTTTCAATTTGGCGCCCATGTACACACATTAAAGGCCTATATATATATATATATATATATATATATATATATATATATATATATATATATATATATATATATATATGTATATATATATATATATATATATATATATATATAGATACTAGCGCACCCGCCCCGCGCGTTGCCGCGGGGATAGAAGAAAGTCTGACGAAATAAGAAGGGTTTCATGAATACGTTACCAATCCTATGTTCTTAGACGCGTGACCTTGTTTTCTAAAACTGAGTTATTTAATTGTAAACAATGCTTGCGCTTGGATCATAAATATTGGGACACGGGTTTACCTACATTGCCGCATGAAAACCTTGAGTGTACGATAAACACTCACCGAAATAATGAGGTAGAACACACTTTGGTGACCGCCCATGTGTCAGGGAAGTAGAGGAGCCCCCGATTACACTACCATAGCGCTCGCAGGGGAACCCGGGGAGCTTCGGGTTGTGCAATCTGCAGGGCGCCGGCGGTTGCGCCTGTTGAAGTTTTAACGCTTTGCAGGACGCACGATTGATGGATGCCAAGTGCTAACATAGCCGCTCTGTAACTATGGGCGCCAAATAGTGTATTGACGAAAATCGCACCCTCCTGAGGTGCCGCCCTTGCAAAATTAAAAACGTTGTAATTAGCTTTGGGAAGAAATGTATCTTCTGTTCCCATTTGGCTTAATGTCGCTATCAGAAAGTTTGTATGAGCAGTTTAATCCATTGAAAACACAAGATTAGTCTTTAAAATTGTTTGAACGTAGATGTAACTCACAAACAGTAGCATGTATAATCAACTAAAAAAAATACATAACTTATTAGGAAAGGTTATTAACACTTTGATGATATAGCTTTGATATATAGCTCTTATAATAAGGCGCAGGTTTTTCACCCACTGGTCATGGACTAGGTGGCCGATTGGGCTTTTGCCCCCGTGTTCCATTCTCCTGACGCACCTGATTAATTTAAATCGCCTGCGTCACCGTCAAGTGCCATAACCTTCAGCTAAACACAGCTTTATAAGCCTATACATTGCCGAGCATGTAAAATCCTGCTAAGTCCAGTAAATTTATACTATTTCTTTTCAAGCTGTTTTTTTTTCACATAATTAAAAAAAGGGAATGATCTCCCCTAAACTTTTCCTAATTTGCGTTTATGTTTGTGTTTGCGTTTTGGTTTGTGTTGTGTTTATTGTGTTGCGTTTATTTTTGGGTTGTTTGAGGTTAGGGTTAATTCGAAAAGTAATATGTTTCCTAAACCCGGGCAATACCGGGTATATGGTACTCTATAATCACACAAGCCAGACCCCACACTAGTATTTTTATATACTAGTATTATACACTAGTATTTTTATATAACACTACAGGGGATGGCAACTCGGGAAATAGACATGATATTTAATCAAGTTTAAAATACTTAAACTTTTAAAAAATAAAACTAGATGAAAAAAGAATTACGCACCAAGTGAACGGCAAACAATACGTGTATAATAGTGGGGAATATTAGTACTTTAAAAATTCATATACGTTTTTTTTAGAAATCGGAAATAGCGTAAAGTACTACTTCCGGTCAGCGGAAATTTCACAAAATTTTACAGAAGGCAGAGAAATAGATCATTTATTTCTATATGAAATTTCGGTTATCTATCTAAAACAGTACTCAAGTTATAGGCTTTTGAAAAACCAAAAGTAGAATCATTTCCACTTTCGGTTACCGGAAATCGCGGAAAAGTTGATATAGAACTACATATTTCATATATAACTAATATATATGAAATTTCATCAACCTAGCTGTAACGGTACTCAAGTTATCGTGTTCTCAGACATACACACATACACGCACGCACGCACAGAGAGAGAGAGAGAGAGAGAGAGAGAGAGAAACACGGTCAAAGTTGGAATATAGTTCCGACTGATGGAGGTGTATAACGTCGAGATTTGTGAAATACTCGATTTCGCTTTTTTGCACCATTTCTATTTATACTTCCTATATACTTCGTATACGAGAAAGTAAAAAAGGAAAATTTACATAGATCCAGTAAAATTATGTTTGAATTAAAAGCTGTTTAATAAATAATGTAGGACCTACATGAAAAAATCTATCATGTTTTATACATTTTTCTTCGTTTGGGCGGACACTGGTAAAGTATAGGTTTTCTATATACATTCCTTTTCGTTGGGGGGGGGGGGGGGGGAGACTTTATTTGGGGGGGGGGGGCAAAGAGATGCCTGGGCAAAACTCTGAGGGGTTGTTTAACTATTTGTTTTTTTTTATGTTCATGGATAGCAGGGAGCTAACGGGTAATCTGTCTTCAAATATGGTAACACAACTAAAATCTTCAGAAAGGACTATTATGTGTGACCCAACCCCCCCCCCCCCCCACACACACACACACACATACGCACTGAAGGTTAGTATCAACCTGTTTAAAGTTGAATACAAGAATAATTAGCTATTATTCCAAAAAGACAAGTAATATTTTCTTAGTAAATTAGGCAGTATGTCGTGGTTGTGTCACCTCCTCGTATGGTTCATTAAATAAGGTAGTATGTCGTGGTTGTGTCACCTCCTCGTATGGTTCATTAAATAAGGTAGTATGTCGTGGTTGTGTCACCTCCTCGTATGGTTCATTAAATAAGGTAGTATGTCGTGGTTGTGTCACCTCCTCGTATGGTTCATTAAATAAGGCAGTATGTCGTGGTTGTGATACAACCTACGCACATTTCATTATATTTAATTAACCTAAGTTGATTTGCACTTTCTGAATATTTAATACATAAAAGTATTAACACATTCCATGCAAAGAAATATTTGTGACTTTTTTCCTATGACTTTTTTTCTGTGTTTTTTTTCCCTGTGTTTTTTTTTCCCTGTGACTTTTTTTCCTACAATCATGGTTACACCCGGTGAGGAGGGTAGTTAGCTTAAGGCGATGTATATTGGCGCTGATTTTGACTTTATTTATTTTTATACTTGCTAAACCTCTGCTAATAAATAGCTGCATCTTAAAAGACCTTGCTCACACATACCTTTTTAAACGTAATAAAGTATTAAGCATAATAAGGTAGGCTTACTTAGAGTTCTAATTTTGTGTAAGTAAGCTTACTTAGAGATCTTATTTTGTGTAAGTAGGCTTACTTAGAGACAGGGGCGTAGCGAGGGGGGGGGGGGGCGGGGGGTGCGGACCGCACCGGGTGACACCATTTAGGGGGGTGACACCAAGGCAAAAAATAGCAAAACATATAGAGAAAAACTCGAGGGGGGGTGCAAATCCAAAGTTTGAGGGGGGGGTGCAAATCGAAAACTTGAGGGGGGGGGGGGTGCAAATCGAAAGTTTGAGGGGGGGTGCAAATCGAAAATTTGAAAGTTTGTCCCTGGGAAGGGTCTCTATGCCTCTGGGGGGGTGACACCATTAAGTGCCGCACCGGGTGATACCCGACCTCGCTACGCCACTGCTTAGAGATCTAATTTTATATAAGTAGGCTTCTTAGATTTATATAATATTATTATAATTATTATA